CGCGGGCAGCTTGCATGTCCCGGGACACCTCTGCCCGCGGGGCCTCGAGGCTCCTGGCTTGTGCTCACCTGGCTTTTGGCTTTCTGTCCGTGGCTCTCGCTTTGCTTGCTGGCTGCATGCTCCCCGTGCTTGAGCTGGGTGCTCCCTGCGCTGCCGCTGGAGCTGGGGACCACTGCTCTCCTCTGGGACCCCTGGGACTCCCTGAGGTCCAGCCTTTGTCTTCTCGGAGCCCCAAACCCTTTGGGGCTCCTTCTCTCCGTGCCTCCGGAGGCTGCTGTTGCCTCTCTTCTTTGCTTTCCTGGGTGCTGGGCACCAGATCTGCCTGTGGAGGCGGTGAGCTCCTCACCGGACCTTTGTGGGGCTGCGCTCCCCTCCGGCACCGAGCTCGTCCTTGTCCCCGTCCTCCCCTCAGTCCCTCGGGAGCTGTGGCATTGTCCCCTGGCTCCTGGGGTCTTTTTGGGGTGGTGTCAGAGCTCTCCCAGCAGCTCGTCCTTCGCAACCCCCAGCCGCTGGTGCTCGCTCTTCCTCCCTGGGGTCTCTGGCTCTGTCCTCAGCGCCCGGAGCCTCGTGCTTTGTCCAAGCGCGGGGGGGAATTGGCCGACCTCTGCTTGGGTCGGGCTCTTCCCCCCCTTTCTTGTGCCTTTTCCCAAGACCTCCGTGGCCTGGGCTGGCCTGCGTGGGCCCCCGAGTTGCCGGGAAGGTTCCTGGCTCCACGTGGCCTTCTCGCCTGGTCCTTTGCTCCCGGCAGCATCTGGTGTGACGTCCCAGGGACTGCAGTGCCCGAAGGGAAAAACATCCCCAAAGTGGCTTTTTCCCAGATGCTGTCCCCACTGTCACTGCTCCTCGGGGGGAGGCAGGCCCCGGGCTGCTTGCGGCTCCCTCAGCTTTTGAACCTGGGCACCAGGCAGCACCCTCCGTCCCCTTTTAGCCAAATAAAGATTTCTGTACCCTGGCCCGTGCTCTAGGGTGGGCTTAGGGTGGTGGGGAGGGGGTGTCTGAATTAGGGAGTGTCCTACAGGGTGGGGGAGGCTGGGGGAGTTTGGGGGGGGTCCCTGCCTTTTTCCCCAGGATCCTCCCTAATGGGGTCTGGGGAGTGAGGTCCCTTGGGGCTGCGGGGGCCGGGGCTGGGTTTCTGCCAGCACCATCGAGGGGGATCCGGCTGCCCACGCTCTGCACAGAGGGAGCCAAATTGAGGCTGAATTTGATCTGGGGGAATCACCGGCCAAATCCTCCTCCGAGCGGGTGCCGGGCATCCCTCTGGCTCCGAGCACCGTGGCGCAGGGGCAGTGGGGTCCGGATCCGGCCACGTTTGGCCAGGACCGAGCCCAAACCCCAAAGGCTTGGGGCGGGGGGGGACCCACTGACCCCATTGCCGGGGCCACCCGAGGCTCCCCTGGGCACGAGAGGGATGCAGGCAGGCCATGGGGACACGCCACGTGCCCCCGCTGACGTGCCTGCGGGGTGTCGGTTTCATCCCAGCTCGCGGGGCATGCGGATGGGGGATAATTTTAGTCAGCCCCCCCCTTTGCAGCCAACGCGCTGGCATCCAGGGCCCGAGGGTGACAGCGTGACCCCACGGGGGCTCGGGCAGGAGCAGTGCCACAGCCCCCCGGGGATGGGGGGGATTGGGGTGCATGGGGATGGGGGTGGTGGGGTCTGGCTGTGGGGCTGCTGCCGGCCCCGTCCCTTGGGAGCTGGTTGGGGTGGGGGCTCGGTGGTGCTCAGCACCCTTGGGTGCAGCCTGCAGCTGGGGGCCAGGCCCTGGCTGTCCCCACAGGTCCCCCAGAGCCTGGCTGCGGTCCCCCTCCTCAGGAAAGGTGACGCTGTGGTGGCTTTGGGGTCTGATGGGGGAAATTCAGCTCCAGGGATAAGAGCCCAGAAGAACCAGGCTGGGGGGGCTGGAATGGGGGCACCGGTACTGGTGGCACTGGGCCGTGGTCACTGGTACCAGTGCTGCTGGCCCAGTTAGCCCTGTGGGGGCTGCTGTTGGGGTGCCATTTATTAGGGTTACATCTGTCCCCCCACAACCCCATGTCCTTACAGGTGTGACAACGGGGACAGGGCCCCCTCTGCGCCCCCCAGCTCCGAGGCAGGAGTTGGGGGCTGCCACCAGGCCAAACCATCCCCATTCCCCCCGGCCGCCCCCGTGTGCTGGGCTGGTGGCTGGGAAGCAGCACAAAACCCACTTTCTGCCCATTTTAACTTTCAGTAGAGGGATTTTGGGGTCCCCCCGGGGCAGAGGGGTGGCCCACGGCCTGCTCGCAGCGGGGCCGGAGCCGGGGAGCTGCCAAGCAGCGGCTGCCCCATTTCATCCGCTCTGTCCTGGCCTTTTGTCGGCGGAGCCAGCGCACGAAGGGATGTATGGAAATCCTATAGCCACAGCTGTTCCCAAAGCTCACATAGTGCTGAGGCTGCCGGGCCGCCTGTCCCACCGCCGGTTTTGGTTTCAGGCTCCCCGAAGGTTTCTGGCCACGCGGCCCCAGCCCCGCTGCCCCTGCGGCCGCCGGGCCCGGGGGTGGTGGTGTGGGGAGTTCCCATCCCGCTGGGTGCCCGAGGTATGGCTGAAATTTTTGGAAACCAGAATTCAGGGCAGTTTTGTTGTCCCCCGTGCACAGGCTGCTTGGCCTTGGGGGGGTTTTCAATGACAGCCTGCTGGCACAAGGTCGTGGTGTGCTCACTGCGTGGGGCTGTAAAGGTGGTGGGGAAAAAAAGGAAATAAAACAACCAAGAAAAAAAAAGACAAAAATAAAAATAAAGCAAACAAGCAAACAAAGCCCACCTTGCCCTGTGCTGGAGGATTTACCGGGAAGGTGTCCCGGAGGTCAGTGCTTAAAGGACTGAGCCACTGCTCCGTACTGAATCCTACAGGAACTGCGTTTCCCAAGGGAGGCTCTCGGAAATGTGGGGCTAAAATGCGTTTGTTTTTTTTTTTAAAGGCTTTGGTGGTTGCTTCCTAGAGGGCAGCTGGAAGAGCGCAGTGCCTTTTCCCTTAAATGTCTTTCACGAGGACAAAATGGTCTCATGCAGCTTATCAGGCGCGGGCTCAACCTCTCTGTTAGCACGGGGGAACCCTTGTGGCGCCCGTCCCGTGCCAAATTCCGCTGGGACTGCTTTTTTCCATCAGCAAGTCTGTGGGAAACGCTCCCTGTGGCGATGCCGAATGGACTTACAAGGTATCGGTGACAAGTCCCAGCGCTCCGGCCCCGGCATTCCTCAGCTTTGCCATTGACAAGAGCGCTCCGACATGTAACGGCGTAATTAGAGCTTGGAGGGTCCCTCCCGGCACGCCTGGAGCGGCGCAGAAGGAAATAAAAATGCCTTTTTATAGCTCGTGGAAGCATGGATGCCGTCAGCATCCGCTCCTCCTCGCTGGCCGTGGCGTCCCCACTGCGCAGGGGGGTGGCCCTGCCTCGCCGCTGCTCTCCCTCCTGATTTAAAATGATTTATGTTTCTTTTTAATGAAAACGTTAACGATTTAAAATCCCGTGAGGCAGCCCTGGTGATTTTGGGGTGATTTCCCGTTAACCCGCGGCAGCTGCCTTTCCGGAGCGAGGTTTCTAATTAAGGCACATCCGCAAACCCGAGGCGAGCCGTGCTGACGCCGCGGCCGAGTTATGCGAGTGTCCAAGATCGCCGCCCTCGCCCCACGTGAGAGGTTTTGTGCTTTAACATCACCGGCCCTTTCTGCGTGGTGCTGCATGTGCTGTGGCACTTCCTATCTTTAGCCCCGGGGTATTTTGGTAGGCGGCCCACAGCCCTCGGCACGCTTTGCCCAATCTCCCCACCAGATTTCATGACTCACGTGCCTGCCTGAAGGCCTCATGCTCTTCCTGGAGGGAACCTGGGCATTGTTCTCAGAGGCCTCAGAAAACATGAGATGTACAGGAAAATGAAGCTCTACCGCTTGGATTTGCTTCAGGAACAATATCTCCCCTTCCTTTCTACCTTCTATGTAACGTTACGCTCCATATTACAATTTATTGTAATATTCTCGCTGTGTTTGCCTCTTCCTTCTCTTTCGTGCTCTCTTGCTTTGAGTGGGAAGCTTTTCTCAGCTCACCATAACACTGAGAAAAGCCTACCAGCAGAAAACCCCATCAGACTCTTCCCATGGGTCATTTATTTATAGTTTTGCTGGAAAGGGAGGACACGAGAGATCCATGTCCCTTCACCGTACCACAGGGTCTGTCTTAATGCAGGGTGCTCTGCCTCTTGGGGTGCGAGCTCCTCTGCAGGACATTTTGAAGGCAGATCACCCAGCAGGGGAAAGGCCTGCGTTCTCCAGCACAGGCTCCTTGGAACACTTCCACACGAAGTTAACCAGAAGTCTATCAGTACACGCACACACTCCAAGGACACCTTTGATCACTGTTTGTTTCAGACTAAAATTAGGTTGGCATTTTCAGCACTAATTCCTGAGGAGCGATTCCCCACGTAGCACAATCTTAATGTGAAGCTGCCACGCTCATTCCCTGAGAAAACCCGCAGCTTTTCCTGCTGGATTTTCAGTTCAGTAACAAAGCAGTCCCCACCTCGCAAAGTTCAGCTAGCTGGAGAATTTAGGACACGGTAACTCTTGTCTGGACTGCAAAAGGCAGAAATGCAGGCATCCATCCAAACCTCTCACCTTGGGAGCACTCCAGAGTTCTGTGAAACGGGCCACGGTATCTCTGCACGCTCATTTGCCTGAGCACAAAGTGAGAAATGCAGACAAGCTGAGGCTGACATAAAACTGGTTTCACACCCGCGATTTAAAAATATCTGCAGTGCTGTTCACCTCCCGTGATCGCCTCTGAGACTCTCACCCTTGTTGGACAGCCAAGCTATGTTTCCAGGCTGGAGTTATCGCTTAAAGCCAGGCTGCCTGAAGCTGCACAGGTATGGTCAGCATGAAATGTCAAATGCCACGAGCTGTGTGGGCTGCTGGTGTTCTGGTGGTGGTGTGTGTGCACCTCTTTTTACTAAAGGTGATCAACATATGAAAATGGGAGCTCAGAAAAGAGGTTTTAAATAGATTTTTACTGAATTTGAAAGATGACGTTACAAACAAGCCATTACATAAAGGCTTAATATCTGCAGAAGCATGTAAGCAGGAGAGGCAGTTGTTTTCCAAATGCATCTCTACTTGTCCCACAATGAAAATGCGTTTTCAACTTATGTTTAAGCCAGTGGAATATAAAATAATTAAAAAAAAATCCTGTCCGTCACAGCTGCGAATAACTTATCTTCATTTTTCAATTATATACAAAAGATGCTTTCCAAAGGGCAGTGTAAGAAGTGTTTACACAAATAAACCCCAGTTCTGACTTCCAAGTACTATTTACATCATTTCTGTACACGGGTCTTTCAGGTCTTCCGAGACCCTGCAAAGCAAGAAGGAACAGCGTGACCATCCGAGTGTAAGAGCAGATGGTTTCCAGCAGTCAGCCCCTCACTTTTCACCCCCTTGGCAGCAGGAATGTATTTACCTATAAGCAGTTCAAAAACTTGTTCTGAATATCTTCAAAGACTTGATTGTAAAGCTCGTCTCTAGACTTCAGTCCATCTAAATAAACTGAAAGAAAACAGACAGAGTCAGTCCACAGGCTTCTACTCGGAACAAAGTTTGTATGTAGATTAATTTTTTTTAATATTTTACTGGATTCATCCAAATGATGACTTGTTTTCCACTTCTGTTTTCTGGAAAACAGAACCCTTCTCAGACACCTATGTCCCCCTAAACCTCTTAACCCATTATAAACTTTTATTTTTCCTTATAATAAAGGAAAATGTTCTTAATAATATAAAAGAAAGGGAAGGAGTTCTTAGCTAGAGGACTGCATTTATTTATCTGTCCAGAAAGTAGGCCAGGACTACAACTTAGTAGTAAAAATAGTGCCTTGCATCATTACAGTTAAATTGCCTTGATTACATTACTGCCTTCCTTAATGTCCAGAGTATAACACCAAAGGCTTTGGGTTTGGAGAGCCTTACCAACATCAACACCGTTGTCCTCCATTTCTTTCCTGTGCTTTAAGTACATGGGCCAGACGTGTCCATCGAAGAGCCCGGGGGGGTCAGGGACGGTGTAGTTGCGCGTGCTGCGAACACAGAGGTGGGGAGCAGTGTTAGGACCAAGGGGGCTGCACCCTTGGGCAGCACTAAAGCCTGAAATTAATCTGACAGCTGCGTGCATGTCAGAGCTGGTTGGTCTTATCAATAATTGGCAATAACTTCCACGTTTTGCAGCGAGTTTATCCAAAAACCTAAAGGAAGCATGCAACAAAACTGCTCTGTTTGCACCCCTTAACGGATGCATCTTGATACAACCCCCACAAAGGGGACAGCCAGAGCTTCAGCAAGTCTCTTCCTCCAATTAGATTTAACTTTTCAACTGTAATTCCAATTTGCAAGTGACACAGATACATCCCGATGACACTAAGATGCAGGTAGCTCAAAAGCCTGCCTCTCCTGACTGCAGCAGGCAGTGTTTTGGGGGAGGAAGGGTCAAAGTCAAAGCATCCCCTTACCTTCTCCTCCTTTTGCATTCGTCGTACGGAACTGCCAGGTAGTAGCGTATGTCAAAGAGGTCTATCAGTGGTCTAGGGTGGGGTGGAAAGAAAGAACGTGTCTATTTATTGCTTTCCCATAGAGAAAAGTGCTAAATTACCCCTGAAAGCCATACAAATCTTTCTGCTTCTTACATTTATAACTATTGCAGACAATTCTGCTTTTCATTAAGGCAATATCTGATCTATGGCAGGTTTATTAGTTGCTATAAAACGTGAACAATGCGAGCTTTCAGAGGTCAGAACTCCCCCTCCCTCCCTCCCCAATATCTGCTACGAGTTACTGGAGGAGATTAGACGTGGGGCTAGGTGGGCCTGGGGGATGAACCACAGCTCTTGCTCTATCCGCTCAATTTTGTTTGCAGTCAGCTGAAGTTTCAGCTCCTCAGTCTGGCACAAACAAACTGATCATCGTGCAGAAGCGAGCAGTCAAAACGTGCACGGAGAAACGGGTTTGGTACAGGTTCCTCCAGAAACCCAGTCACTGAGCTCCACCGTGGCTTACGGAGTTGCACTGCTATTAGGCTGAAGAAAACAAACCCTGAAAAAAAAATCTAAAAAAAAAAAATCTAAAAAGCACAGAATCATAGAATGATTCTATTTTAGAATTCTATTTTATAATCATTCTATTGTTTAGAAGCATAGAATGATTCTAAAATCTAAAAAGCAAAAATCTAACCTAAGCAGCTAGTTTGACCCTGGTGGGATGTCTGGAAAATGCTTGCGGTGTGCATTGAGCAAGCTCTGGGGAATATAAAAACATGTAAAAATATTCCCCAGACAAAGGGCAGGCTCCTGCTCCCGGGACGGAGCACTCGGGAGGTATTTGTAACCTTCAGGAGAGGTACGAGCGTCACCTCCCGAGGGACGGGCCAAGAGCAGCAGGTGCTGTGCTGGGGCAGCCCGCGGCTGGCCGCGCTCTGTGCATGCAGCCCAGGGCTGCTCGTCCTGCGGCACAGCTCGGGAGGAATTCCACTTTTGCCAAGTGTCACGCACAGCTTGTTCTTGCCAAAGTTTCGTAAACAAAGCAGCAGCTTGGAGCCAGCCCTCTGCTCGCTGTGTTTATAGCAGACATTTTTCTGGAGTTTGTATATTTAGCTATTGGAAATCTCCGCTCTCTCCTCTACTTGCCTCCCCAGCTTCTTGCCAAGCATTTTTTCCCCATATACGAATGTGAAAAAGTTGATCTTTGCTCCAAAGTACAATTAATTACGTGGCTCAATTTAGCCAGTGTTAAGCAAGCACGTGTACCACATGAGAACTATTCCTGAAGCCCAGGAGGGACTCCAAGCAGTGACCGCAGCACTGATTATCTCCTTGTTCTTATCAACGACCTTCTCAGGTCACAGTTTAGGCAGTGTGCTGGGAGACCAGGGGGGAAGGAGAGCTTCCTGCCCTACCCTAAAAACGCCACTGTGTGCAGCCCGGTTTTACCAGCAGCAGATTTTGTACGCGTGAGAAATTCTTAGACATGATACCTCAGGAGGAGAAGGAAGGGTGTATTAGTAAAAAGGAAGTTTTAGTCCTGGCACTAGTCATCTAGCGTTCCTCCCTGGAAAGCCATTAATAGTTCCCCAAACCTTACTTGTAATTATAAAGCAGGAAGCCTTCAATGACCAAAATATGGATATCTTTGGAGGCTGGCTCTTTAGAGCCAGGCGTGACATTCACCCCGTGGGAACGGGCAAACTTCACTGGGTTCTCAATCCAGGCACGCACAGTGCTCACCATTGCCTCCATATCCAAGGAATCCAACACTAGTTAGAAGAAAGGGGGTGGGTGGGAAAGAGGCACACAATCAAATACCTTGAACCACACAGGTTTGAAAGTATAATATAGAATGAACTCGTAAAATTGAAATTACAATTAAATTTACTATTAAAACTTTAATAATTAGAAAGAAATACTTAGGAAAAAAATATACATTACTGCATCCTATAGCGAACACTGCTCTTACCATCCCATTGTTTAAAGCCGTCTTCCCCGACTTCTATTTGATCTTGTGGCTGAAATATAGTGAGCAATAAAACATTGCTGCAAACTCAGCGTGATCAGTTACCTAAGATCCGATCACAACCTGGACGCTACCGCAACACCCAACAAAGTGTTCACTTAACGAAACCACTACCGACCTTACTTAGTTAAAATTTTAAGTTCCCGTTTTTCACCAACCCAAGAGCTTTGAAAAAGCTCTCTTGGCTCAGATAAGCCACTTGTGGCAAAGAATTTGAGGTTGACAATTGGTATGCGATTGCTGGCCAAAACACTCCATGCCCCCTATTTATACGTGAGCAGGTAAAGGATTATTCCTGGGCAAACTATTTATAAACAGGGGGCCTAGAGTGAGCACGTGAGGACTTAATATGCCAACGTGGCGTTAAGTAACTTTGAGTTTACCTGACCAATAATAGATAGCTGAACTCCTCCTAACATTTCTAACAAAAATACAGTATAACTCATGGGCCAGTGAAAGCTTTACACGTGCCAGGCTCCACGTCCTTATGGAAAACCATGTGGGACCCCTTCTCCAGTGCCAGGAGCTGGCCTCTGACCCAAATTCACGCTCGAGGCCACCGCCAGGGCAGTGCTTGTGGCTCAGCACCTCTCTGAGGGTGCAAGCCGCACTGTGGGAGCTCTGAGGGCTGCTTGGGGGCACATTTTTTAGGTGAAACAAGGAGAAAAGGCCCAGCTTGAGGGGTCCATATGGACACGGGGCTTTTAGCTGAGCTGGGGCTGGGTCTGTCCTGGGGACTGAGGGAAGCTTTCGGTGCCTGGGGCCACTGCTACACGTGGGAGAGGCGGCGCGTGCCGGGGGCGAGCGGGAGGCGCCGGGCTCACCTTGAAGAAGTCGTCCTGGTGGACGACGCAGCAGTTGGGCAGCGCCTTGACAAGCCTGTTGGTCAGCGTGGTTTTGCCACCGTTGGTGACGCTGAAACAGAGAACGGGAGACAGGAACGGGATGAGGGACACGAGGCTGAGGGACACGGGGAACATAGGCATGGGGGACACGGGGCTGACGGAGACGCTTTGGGGTGCTGACAGGGACATGGGGCTGATGGGGGACACAGGGGGGACACGGGGCTGCTTTGAGGTACTGACGGGGACACAGGAGACATGGACACGGGGGACACTGGGATGGGGGACACGGTGCTGACAGAACTGCTTTGAGGTACTGACAGGGACACGGGGGACACGGTGCTCACAGACCCACTGTGGGGTGCTGAGGGGGACACGGGGGGGCACGGCGCTGACGGGGGGGGGGGGGGGGGGGCACGGCGCTGACAGAACTTTGGGGCGCGCGCAGCCCGCGCGCCACGTTTGAATTTCCCGCCTCGGCGGAGCGCGCTGAGCGCTGATTGGTTCTCACCCTCCCCCCCTCCCGGTCCGGCCGCGGCTCGCGCCGCTCTTAACGGCCGCCGCTTCCCGCGCGCGGGACGGCGCGGCCTCACCCCTCCCCCCCCCCCTTCTCCCGCCGCTGAGGCGAGCGGCCCCGCCGCCATCTCGGGCCCCGCCGCCGCTGTGGCGGCCGCTCCGTCCCGCTGCCTTCGCGGCCCTCCCCGGGGCTGGGGGAAGCCCCGCGGGTGTTTCCGCAAGATGGAGGAGGAGAAGGGGGGGGGCTGAGCCCTTTCCCTCAGCTTCGGGAGTGGGCGTAAAGCGCCCGAACCCCCCCCCTTGTTGCTGCCCCTCGTTGCCCCCCGACACTTCTGCTCAGGAGGCTGGGCTAAGGAGCTGCACCCTGAGAGCAAGGCACACGAAAAGTGCCGTTAAAATGCTCTAAATTAGTAGTGAATGAGGGAAGCGCCTTCCTTTTACAGCCATTCAGCCCTGGAGCCGCAGAACCTGCCTGAACACGAGGCATCCGCACACCCCTCCCCCCCCCCCCTCCAGGCGGGAGAGCTGTCAAACCTGACTGCGCTTAATCTGTTAATATATATATATATATATATATTTAATCCAAAGGCTCATAAGATCACACGCTGTCCTCGACCTGCCTTTCGGCTCTGTCTTGCCTGGGGTCACTTTAGCGAGCTCCTCTGCAGTGAGTGGAGCGCTGCCAAGTTGCATCAGGCAGCCCGCAGGCCTGCTTCCAAGCCCTCCCTTGCTGCCGAACGGAGCATTTTGTCCAATAATCCGACTCAAAGCAGCTCCCCCCCTTCCCCGTGTCCTTCAGACAGGCTTTTAAAAGCCTAAATTAACGTTGAAAACGTCCTTTTACAGAGTTAAGGCGCACCACGCCTGTAACTTCACCTATGGGGCTATTTGCAGTACTAATTTCTACTTAAGCCTATTTGCAGTACTTCTTTCTACTCCAGCCTATTTACAATACACTTCTTTCTACTTCAACCTATTTACAATAGACTTCTTTCTACTCCAGCCAGCCTCCCGTTAATGCTGCAGAAGTTTGGTGGGCGCCTCCCTGCAGAGCTCTGGGCGTTACATAAAACATAAATTAAAGAGTCAGCAACTTGGGGGTTTTCTAGAATCCCGTCCCCTTACGGTCCCTCAGCTCATTTTACAGCAATTAGGGACAGCGGAAAAGCAGCGTGTTAGGTACCGAGGGCACCGCCAGGCACTTACCCTCCGATGCCTATGATGTATTTCATCTTCACGGAGTCGCAGGAATGCGGCGAGGCAGATGAGGAAGGGCTGAAGTGACTTTTGGCAGCACAAAGCCGCTCCGGGCACTTTTCCTCCCCTTTTTTTTCCCTGCCCGTTTCGCCTCTCGGCCCTGTTCCGCTTTACTATTCCATTGAAGAAAAGGCGGGTTGGGCTTTAATTTATAGAGCCCCGCTGCAGTGCCCTGCCCTCCCCACGGCTTCCCCGCCCCGCTGGTGATGGAAAAGCCCTATGACTATCATGAGCCCAAGATGCCATATTTTAGAGCCCGGATTAACCAATCCTCACCTCGGCATATAGGGTCATGCGCGCTGCCGCTGCACCTGTTCCTGCACCCCTCGCGGACCCCCACTCCGCTGCCCTTGCTGCCTCCGCTATTAATAGCTTTTTGGCAAGCCTTCCCTTTGCCTAAATTAGTAATGGGGTAGGTGAAAATGTCACCCCTTTTTACATTTCCTTTGGGAGGTCTGGGGAAGGGTATGGAGGTGTGCGAGGATAGAATTAAGCACCTCGTTTTTTTCCTTGAAGCCAGGCGAGCTCTCTCGTTGCGTTCCTCCTCATTTTCCCCGTCCCACTGTGATAATTTTAAAGGCATCCAGGCATGTAATGAACAAGGAATTTTTTGTTTCTCTAAACTTCTGATATGGGAGCTAAAATATTTTTTTCCCCTGTTTTTAGTAAAGCTGTTCAGAGAAAGGAATACGCAGAGGCTGATGACTAAAATCAGTAAAGCCATGATCTTTTCAAACTTTTATTTGTAAAACTTTTGAACCTTGGGCTTGTACTTCATACACAGACACAAAGTCATAAAATTACATGCTATACAATTATATTACATCTTTATATTATATTATATAGATAATATATATAATAAAGATATATAGATAATATATAGATATATGTATATAGATAGATAGATAAGATATAGATAATATATATTATATAGTTAATATATATTATATATATAATATATATATACAATGATACTAACTTTCCTGATGGCTGCCTCTTCCCCAGTTCACTCATGTAAAACAACCTTTTTCAAGGTGTGTTAACTCTAGCTGAACCAGAATAAATAGTTTATTTGAATAAATACTTCCCAGCACAAATATGTGTGTGCTTTAGTTTTAATCATTTCAGATACTTCTAAAATCAGGGCTCTCTTGAAATATGTTAGGCAAAGCAGTTAGCGATAGCTCTGAATGTTTTTCGATGAACATAGTGATGTGAATCATACAGCATGCATTTTTAAATAATATCTTGTATAATAGAGTTTAAATCACCCAAACCACTGTGTCCTTTTATTATTTCTTTTTAAAAATGCAATGTTTCACACCTTACAAATATCCCTGGTATTTTGCAGACACCAATGACACCTTTTTCTCAAAATGGGCAATTGTGCGACATCATTAAGGTGGTTTTTATTTATTTAATTATTTTTCCAGAACAAGTGCCTCCAAGCTGTATTTAACTTGAATTTTTCTGTTTCAGGACCGAAGAAAGGCTTATGTTCAAAAAAGCTTGTTTGCAGCTCCCCAGCTATAGCTGTTGATCCAATGAATGATGTTACTTCTCCCTACAAACCTTGCCTGCCTTAATGACTAAATTATGTTCATTAGCCATAAGGTCAAGGCCTAGTGCTTTGATAAAAATGAGCTGATCGTGAATAAATATGGGCAAAAAATCAGTAACTGCAGAGGCATCAGATTCTGGAAGTCTTTCAGTGAAGGTATTGGAGGTAAAAAACAATATTATTATTATCATTATCATTATTCATTTATTTATTATTAAGAGAGTGCCTGGTAAATTTATGAACAGGATAATGCAAAGTGTTTTTTTTCCAGTCTCTTATGCTGTATTAATTCTATGGATTTAACAAATAGACCTCAGCCAGTGTTTCCACTGTAATTCTTATATATTGCCTACATTAGCATGCTATTGGATTCCTCCTGGAGACTTCACCTGCAAGTTATACTTTTATTATCACTACCAAGGTAGCTATGTAAAATGTTTGCTTCTGAGAAACTCAGATCTGGAATTCCTGAACATGAATGAGACATGCCTGTCGGGGAAGTTGGATTTCCAGCAGCTGCCCATCACAGCCTTTGCAGTGGGGAGTCACCAAACTGAGTCACCAGAGTCTCAGCTGGCGTCAGTTGTCATTGTGTGCTGAAGCAGAGCAATGACAATTTACACCAACTGAAAATTTGGCTTAAGGTTAGCTCTGTGCTCAGTTTTTTCATGCCCTTCACTGTGTTTCTCCTTCTGTCCACGAGCTAGGAAAATGTCTTGGTTAAAAAAGCAAACTGTGCTATATTAGTTTATATTTTACCACATTTGGCCTTGTGTGCTAGGCAAAAACTGGGAACCTTGGCAGTTGTGTAAAAGTTAGGTGGGGATACTGGTGTCAGCTTGCTTTGATCTGGTCTTTTTTACGTTGGAGTTCTGCTAATCCAAATATTTTTGGAATGTGCCAGCCTCTAGGTGAGTGAAAATTGTATTCTGCCCTGGTGTCCTTACTGATATGCACGTGCTTCAGAAACAGAACTTACTTTTTTTGTGTTGAAAAATCAATATTTGGCCTAAGATCAAAAGAAACAAAACATTTATAGTATAGGTAGAAAAAAAAATAGTAAGTTACAGCAGCCAGCAGCAGCTGGTTTTAGTATTTGGCTGACTTGTTTGGGATCAGTGAAATCCACAACAGTGAAATTCCACTATCTCCATTAAGAAAGTCAAAGCTCTGTTTTTTCTGAAAACCAATTTTCAAGAAGGCTTTTTTATTATTATTATTTTTCCTCACAATTCCAAATCTTGTTCTGTAAGCACCCAATGTAAGAGCTCATTTTTTAAAGCCTTTTCTTCGTGGTCCCTCAGTGCTCCCAGGAATGTGTCTGGCTTTTCCCGAAGCTGTTTTTAAGCCACTTCTCTACGTTTTTCTATCACCTGTATTCATAATCATGCACAAAGCATCCAGTGAAATCATTTTCACCCACATAGCTCAAATTCTCAGATTCCTGAGTGGCCCCAGATTTGCTGTTGTTTTAGGAGGCGGCATGTGTCTGCCTGTGTTTGGAGATCTCAGGCATTTCAGCTGTCTGCTTCGTAAGAACCCCAAAGACCTCTTACACAAAACTGTCTGAAATGGATGGTGACAGTTACACTTACCAGCTACAGCAAACTTTACCCAACCTGTAAAAACGTCTATGCAAATGCCAAGTGTTCATACATTCTTTTTTTAGCAAGCTATGTTAGCCACGTTTCTCGGTGAGTTATGCGTTGATCTGAAACTTCCTTTTTTTGTGTGCTTGTTTATCCAGCAGATAGGTTATCTGCTTGACACTTCACTACTACAAATACCATTCAGCAGAGGTTTTCCATCAAAGATAGAAAATGTTCCCTCTCTTTATTTTTAGAATACTGATGTTTGCTAAAAGTTTAATATTAATCTCTGTTGAAACGAAGATAAATTTGACAAGACAATTTAACGCTCGTGGAGCACTCATGTTGTTTCCCCGAGCTAGTTTAGTTTTTGTATATCCATTGACCTCTCTGTTGCAGGATGTGACTCATTTATTCTAAACCTTTAATTCTGGCTTCAAATCCTTCCCTAATCATAAGACATTGCTTATGGTATGAACAAGGTTATGCCAAGGTTCCTTAATGCTTTAGTTAGAGGCAGGGGGTGGGCAGTGGCTAGATGAGACAGCCTGCCAGCTGGTGAGAGAACAGTCAAAGGAATGAGAGTAATCTTCACTTGTGAATTTTTAAATTACAGCTTTATTTATTCTTCACAGAATGCTGAGTTGGTCGGGTTTGCTAGGAAAGCCTTTCTCCAAGCCTTTGGAGACCACACACGTCTCAACAGTGCAAAAACTCTGGAAGAAGACAGGCTTTTACTTTTCAAAAAGACACGGTGAGAGAAAGTAAGAAGTGACACAGTAATTGTTAACTGCTAATAGCTAGGACAGCTAATAGTAAAAAAAAAAATAGGCTAGTAGAATAAGAGGCTTAAATATGGTAATGCCTAACTAGCCGGCATCTTGTCCCAGTGATAAGCTGGCTGTCTTTCAGGCTGCCACTGTCAGAGGTGATATTTTCTGCCACTGCTGCTGCTGATCCCACCGCTGCCATTAGTGGCAGGAAGTCTGTAAGTCCCGTGGGGGAGGCAGAGGTGGAGCACTGGGTTGGCTGCTCCCCTAACCCTAATTATGACCCTAATCCAATACCTACGTCGCCAGATTCTCCTGTGAAGTAGTGCCAAGGGAAGCCGTTTGGTAGACCTGAACTTCCTTGGGCAGCCTTTATGGAACCCCACACACAACAGGACTCTGCGCACTCTCTCTCTCCAAACCCTAACCCTAACTGTAACCCAAATACTAATTATGACTCTAACCCAACACCTACATCGCCAAATTCTCCCAGAGGTCACAACGGAAGCCTTTTGGTAGACTCGTGAGAAGCAAAGTAGTGTTTTTGCAATAGAACGTGTTTTAGCAGTGGGAAATTCCACTAACCTTGAGAATTCAAAAGTGACTGTGCAGGCATGACAGTGGGGTAGCTGTGGGGAGTACACAGATAAGGGGAAGGCCCCACTGTCCCAAAATAAGGATGGTAACTAAGAAAAACAGGACGAGCAGTGCGAAATCAGTAAAAAACAAAAAGTCACATGAGAGAAGAAGGGAAAAAAAAAAAAAAAAAACAGGAAAAGGAGAAATTAATGTTTGGTCAAATTAAATTGTACATATATGGGATAGTAATAAGTGTCGAGTAGTTTGTGACCCTGTAGTACTCAGCCAGTGAGGAACCAGGGGAGGAATCAAGCACTGGGTAATGGGAAATATAAGGTTATGACAGACTTTTGCTGCGTGCTCCTGCTTGCAGGATGCCTGCTATTGCAGTCACAAATGAAAATGCTGCTTCATGGAGATATGTCTGAGCCTGTGCTCTTGGCTACGGAGTGTTTCTCACAAACTGGGGGCTTGTCCAGGATCCTGTCACCTTCTGGGGAGCCCCGTTAGCACTGCAGCAGGAAGGTGTCCCCGCTGATTTCAGCGGTCCTGTGCCTTGGTGATGCAGAGAGCTGACGAAGGAACTGAGACTGGTTGTGAAGGCAGGATCAGTGAAGAGTTAGGGAAGTAAGGAAGGCAGGCACTCCAGTTTTGAGAATTGACCTGGTAACTGCACAGACCGAGGTAAGAAATATTAATTATTGCCTTTGGGGTCAGGTAAGACTCTCATGTAACGTGATTGAGACGTACCCCTCTGTACAAAGTGAGCGTGGAGACCCGACGTGTGGTTCTGCAGCTCCATGAGGGGCAAGGCCAGGGACAGAAGAAGTGAAAGGTAAAGGTGAGAAAGGAAGAGAAATGTGGAAATTGGGGAAATCTAGCAGTACACCAGGGAATCTGGTTAACCCCTAAGTGTATGGTACCCTGTGCACGGTAAAGTGCTCGGCAATACACCCCCATTTTCTAGAACTGGAACGTCAGTGTGTGGTACCCTGCAGGAGGCAAAATTCTGTAGCACACTGGCAAGGGCTAGGAAAAATGGGCAATGAGGGTTCCAGGGAACAGGGAGATATCCCGGGGCAGTGCCTATCAACACTCCTTCTGGAAGAATGGTAAGAAAGTGGAAAAATAATACCAAAATTAGAGGAAATGATAAAAAGAAAACGGTTAAATACTGTGTATTGATCTGGACAATTAAGGAAACAGTAGGATTTTGGCCAAAATATGGGTATGATGAAAAATCAGGCTTTAAATTTATATGTAAACAAGAAGACTCCTGTCTCAGAGGAGTCAAATTGTGCTGCATGCTGGGTGCAGGGGGTAAGTCAGTTTTTACTGAAAAAGGGTCAGGACCAGGAGAAAGAGGAGTCAGAGAAAAGGACGGGTCAATGGGAAATCCTTGGATAATTTACCCCCTCCCTGTAGCCCTAATATTGCACTGGTGGCAGCAGCAGCTGCTCCAGGAAGGGAGATGGGGCTGCAATTAACCCTCTGCCTAGAGAAGGAGAGCACCTTGGGCTCTGGTAAGAATTAGAACAAGGTAGAAGAGATACTGAGAATGTCACCTTCCCCTCTGCTCCCAGCACTAACACTCCTACCTATCCTCTTAGGGAGGTCCCAGGGAGGCAAGGACAAATAGGTTCTGTGACCCTATGCAAGAATGGGAAAGAACCAACCCCCCCAGCCCAGGACTAATTCTGACAGAGCTGAAATACCCGCTTATCCAACGGGGATAATAACACGCCACGACACAGAAATTATATGAGAGACTTGGGGTCAGAAGGAGAAAGTAGTCGGGGATGAATCCTGAGAACCCAGTAGCCCAAGGGCTCTTGAAAGTTCATTTTGTGATTAAAGCCTGGCCAGATGCACAAAGCTCCAGAAGGTGGGAGGATGGGGTGAACAGTCACTGCAGACCCTCCTGCGGGGGGCCCTGAAGGTGTATGTCAGGAGGGGGGATGAAAAGGAAAAGCAGGGAGTGAAACTAATGGTCAGCACAGGGGACCAGATAGTGAGGCAGCGGGCAGGGGATAGAGGGAGAAAACTTTCAGTCGAGTCCAGGCTGGAAGGGAGAGGAAGAGAGACAAAGGAATGGCAGGCAAGGAAAGCTGCCTGTGTTGCAGCCTGAATCCTAGCAGGGACAGGCTTCGAGATGTTTTAAGGCCGCCCACTTCCAATAGGAGGATCCGGAGTGGAAGGAGGAGCGAGTGGGTGCTGTTCAGTTCAGAATGGGGGAGTGGGGGCTTCTCAGAAAGCTGCTCCCACTGAGAGCCCCCGATAAATGAAACGAGTTCAGGGGCTGAGATAAGGGCAGGGAGGTCACTCTACAATTATCGTCACGGGCAAACCAGACTTAGCAGAGGGAGATTAATAACATTTATTACCTATTGCGGACGGGCTGGAGCGGTGAGAAAGACAGAAAGAAGCTGGGGGCACCTTCCCCCATCTCTCTGGGGGTAGAAGGGGCTGAGATAAGAGTGCTACTCCCTGGGGACACCAGGCTGAGACTGGGGCAATTGTTGCATGTGCCTGGGGCAGGGTAACTCACAGGGATCAGACAGGAAAGCGGATCAGACAGCAAGGAAGCGGATCAGACTGTAAAGAAGCAATTGACTACGTCCTGGAAGCGTCCTGGAAGCTTGGCTCCCCTGAATGAAGGCGCTTTGGCCCTGACCTTTTGCACTTCTGCAAATTCAAACCGCACCGGAGCTGGGCAAAGGGAATGAATTACCTCAATTCGAGACAAAAGATGCTTTTCTTAAAAACTACCTGTTTGGCTGGAGTCTTCTTTGTTGGCGCTCAGGACCCGTGGATCGTGAGCTCAAACCCCACCCTTGGAAGCCCCGAGCCATCCGTTCTGAGCAGGAGGCTGGGTTCTGATACAAACGGGGAGGAAACTGAAACTACAGCCTGAGTGGGACACACCGTGCCGGGTACTGACTGCTGAGATGGCAGGAAGAACAGCTGAGAAAGGGTGGACTCAGTGCTCCCATTACACCCAGGTGAAGGCATCAGTTGATCCTAAGGCCTGAGAGACTGTTCCTAGAGGAGAACCTTTAAAATTAAAAAAAAATAGGAGGAGGTGTGAATCACAGTTGTAAACTAAACTTTATCTTCTTAGGAAAAAAATAAAAGAATACCACGTGTAATTGGGAAAAAGAGTTGGATTACATAGAATTTGGGTGTTCCCAGGGTATTCTGGTTTTTATATCGGTATGTATATTGTTCTTCATACTGATGGAAATTCAGGGGGCAATAATACTGACCCTGGATGTGGAAATGTTACCTGTGAGGGAGGGAATTATCTATGCTGTACCGAATATGGTAATTATGGGAATGTTAATATTCATTAACATATCCAATGTGCTGGTGTTAATGCGCACCAGACACAACATGGGAATCATCCTGAAATCAGATACCAGGCAAGGAGGGGGTGGCGTTGGCTACGTGGTAGTAAAGCCAGGAAAGTGTTGCCCCTGGAATGAGATGTATTGCCCCCCTCCCCAGTATCTGCCCTTTGACTTAATCCTCAGGGGTCAGAATCCAGCCTCAGTATGGACCACAGAAGCCAACCAGGACACTGAAGTTTCCTTTTCATCCCCTGACAGCAGGAGCCACCCAGAGGTGGGCCAACAACCAAACCCAAACCCAGCCCTTTTTGCCAGCTTTTCTCCACTCACCTTCCTGATCGAGGTTTAACGCTTCCATCCTCCGTGCCGAGCCAAAGCCACGTGGGTTAGACCAAGGAGAACGAACAGACAAACGTGACGATCCACAGAGCAGTCCGTACCCTCTCCCCTTCTCTCCTCCCATACAGCCAAGCCTCAGACCCACATCCCCCAGCCCAGCACCGCTGCTTTGCTCACCTAAAGTCCCGAATGGATGCATCACGCTCCCTGCTCCTGCACTCCGAGCATCTCCAGGTTCCAGGATCTGCCAGGATCTGGAACCGTTGGCATCTGGCGTGCCTCAGCAATGTGTCAGGAGATGCAGGCAGCTGTCACACGGCAAAAGGCAAGGCAAAACAGGGTAACTAAACCCACCATGAAGCCACGAATGCACAGCAGCCCCGGCAGGGGTGATCCCAGACCTCTCCTCTCGAGATGAGGCAACTGAGCTGGCCCCGCTCAGCCTCTTGGGAACACGGCTCCCGTGTGGCCAAGCCCCTTGTGGTGTGCACGAAGCTCTGTGAACCCTCTGCAGTTACACACCTGGCTGATACCCCCGGTGATTAAAACACAGCCCCACAGTGTGTGTGTGCCCCGTCAGGCCCCACAACGTGCCCCCAGCTACAGCCCCCCAGGAAGGGAGCTCCAAGCACTTCAAACCCGGCCGCCTGCAAGGCCCAAAGGCTCAACCGGCAGCAAGGCAGCAGGGCAGAGCTCCAAAATACACCAAAGGGGCCCTAACCCTGAACGAGGCCGCCCGGTGCTGCTGGTTTCGGCCCCGGCCCCGCGGCGCTGCCAGCAGGGGGAGCGCGGGGCCGCAGCGCCGCCTCCCGCCACTAGGCGGCACCGGCCGGGAAACTACACTTCCCAGCATGCCCCGCACGGCCAGGCGGCCAATCGGAAGCGCGGAGCCCAAGGACTACAATTCCCGGCGTGCTGCGGGGCGAGGCTGCTCTGAGGCCTACAGGCCCCCCCGCCCCCCCCACGGCGGGGCCTTCCCGGGGGGCCCGGCCGGGGGTCCCCAGACCCCCCCGGAGCAGCCGCGGCCGCCTCTTGGGGCCCGGCGAGCACGGGCAGCGCAGGGGGAGCACCCCGGGGGCAGGGGTGGGCGAGGGGGTCGGGCAGGGGGCCCCGCACAGGCGGTGGGCACGAGGACAGATAATGGTGGCTTTATTAGTACCGATTTTAGGTAGTTTTGGGCTGGGGAAATAAAAAAGACACCGTATCAGAGAGGACTCTGCTTAACAGCCATTTTCCATTGTTTGAAAGGAGAAGTCATGAAGGTGAGCGCAGAGGTACGCAGCTATTGCCAACAGAGACGCTGTAAGCAGGCCTCTCAGTGTTGTTTTTGGTATTTCATAGGGAAAAACATTCAGCCTGAAATTTCTCATCTGTAAGGCCGTGAAGGGCAGGCAGGGAAGGAGCCCAGCACACTCAGTGTGTCTCCTGAGAATCACGTGGCTTCACAGGGCTCCTCAGAGGAGGAGGCAGCGGTGTAATGAATTCCTTCTCCAGCTCTGGAAGGAGCTTTTCTCATAGCTGTGACAAAAAGAAAAACAAACTTATAATGCAAGTCGTTACACAAAGCCACACTCAGTGAATTCACTATTACAGTCAGATCAGTTTTAATTGAAAACACTTTGGCAGCACTGCTACCAATTCAAACATAGTGCTGCACAAAATTCAACTCCAGATAAAGAAAACAGCAAGCTAAAAGGATAAATACTTGAGCTAAGGCATCTGCAACAACAGTAGATGTTTGTCCACGGCCCCGGTACATCATTTGTGGGAGACAAAGGGATGTCACAGAGCTGTAGGGCTTGGCAGGGCCCTCAGAGCTCCCAGGTCTCGCTGAATGGCAGCACAGCCTTCTGGTGTGTCAGCCACTTTTCCCAGCTTTGTGTCATCAGCAACTTGCTGAGGGCAGACGCTATTCCCTCATCAAGGTCATTGATGAAGATGTTGAACAAGACCGGACCCAGCACCCTGGGGAACACCGCTAGTAACAGGCCTCCAGCCAGACTCTGTGCCATCGATCACCACCCTCTGAGCTCAGCCAGTTCTCAGCCCCCCTTACTGCCCACTCCTCTATCCCACACTTTCTCTGCTTTGCTAGTAGGATGTCATGGGAGACAGTATCGAAAACCTTGCTAAAGTCAAGGCAAATGACATCTACTGCTCTCCCCCCATCTATCTAGCTGGTGATGCCATCAGAGAAGGCAACGAGGTTGGTTGAGCACGACTTCCCCTTGGTGAATCCATGTTGAGTACTCATAACCTTCTTCTCTTCCAGTTGCTTGCAGATGGCCTCCAGAACAAGCTGCTCCAACACCTTTCCAGGACAGAGGTGAGACTGACTGGCCTGTAGTTTCCCGGATCCTCCTTCCTGCCCTTCTTGAAGAATGGAGTGACATTGGCTATCCTCCAGTCCTCAGGCACCTCTCCTGTTCTCCAGGACCTTTCAAAGATGATGGCGAGTGGTTTGGCGATCACCTCTGCCAGCTCCCTCAGCACACGCGGATGCATCCCGTCGGGACCCACGGATTTGTGCGCACTGAGCCCACTCAGACGCTCCTGGACCACCCCCTCACCAACCAGGGGGGAGCCCTCCATTTCCCAGACTCTTTCTCCTCCCTCCAGGGTCCAGGAGTCCCAGGGGGGAGTCTTTGAAGCAAAAACCGAAGGAAAGAAGGCATTCAGTACCTCTGCCTTCTCAGCATCCTGTGTTACCAGGACACTCCCCTCATTCAGCAAGGGACCCAGTTTTCCTTTTACTGTTTACATAAAAAAAAAAAAAAGAAAACAAAACCTTCTTATTATCCTTTATCTCCTTTGCCAGGTGGGCTTTGGCTTTCCTCGTCGCATCCCTGCAGGCCCTGACAACACTCCTATACTCCTCCCAAGAGGCCAGGCCCTTTTTCCACATTTCCTAGACCTTCCTCTTCCTTTTGATCTTGTCGATGAGCTCCTTGCTCATCCACGCAGGTTTCTTGCCCCCTTTCCCTGATTTCCTGCTCTTTGGGATGCACCGATCCTAAGCTTGGAAGAAGTGCTGTTTAAATGTTGCTCTCACAAGCACCCTCACCTTCTAGCAACCCAGCCCATCAGATACCCCCAGGAAGGTCCTTGAAGAGCTCAAAGTTGGCTCTCTGAAAAACCCAGGACAGCAATCCTACTTTTTGCCTTATTTCTTCCACCATGTTCCATCTTGAACTCCACCATCTCATGATCTCAAGCTGCCCCCAACCTTCACATCCCTACCAAGCCCATCCCTGCTGGTAAGAACAAGGTCCAAGGAAGCACCCCCCACCTCGTCAGCTCCTCAAATATATGCTGATTTTGTTCCCTAAATACATACACTGTTCTCAGGAACTCTAAGCCTGTTAACGTGCCAATAGTATTGGGTTTTATTGCCCAGGAGATCTTTCAGGGCTTGGTCTAACATTGCAGACCCATTATTAGCCAGGTGGATCTGTATTGAGAGCAATACCCTGTAAAAGTGCAAGGGAACAGTGCTGCTGAACCATGAATGGGGGCTGGGCCACATGCCTTGGCCTGTGGTGATCCTTGTGCTGCCATCTCAGGTTCCCAACATCGGAAGCGATGCAGGTTTCTCTCCTGCCATGTGAGGAAATGTTTCTTGGTGCTAACGCTACCTCCTGTGTTTGTTCCCACTGCCTTTTGTCCTGTCCCTAGACACCACTAAGAGCTCATCTCTGCTTTCTTTGTGCCCTCCCTCGTGGTATTTTATGAGGAGGGGCTGAGGGAGCTGGGGCTCTTCAGCTTGGAGGAGACTGAGGGGTGACCTTATTATAAATATGTAAAGGGTGAGTGCCAGGGGGATGGAGCCAGGCTCTTGTCGGTGACACCCAGTGACAGGACAAGGGGAATGGGTGCGAGCTGCTTAAACACGAGACAAAACCGTTGAGACAAAAAGCGCTGGGACGGGCTGCCCAGGCAGGCTGCGGGGCCTCCTTCCCTGGAGACACCCAAGGCCCGCCCGGGCTCGCTCCGCCGTGACGCGATTCCACAACTCCCTGCCCCCGCGGGGGGATCGCCCGCGATGGTTTCTCCATCTCCTCCCCAACCCCTAAACCCCGCCACCCTGCGCCTTCCCTACACACACCGGCCCCCCTTGGGCTCTGCCCGGGCTCCCGTTTGGGGTCGGGGGGGGGCTCCGGGGCTCCCCCTCCCTCCCGCCTCTCTCGGCACCACCCCCGCGCCTCCCGGCCCGCACTGAGCCCGCCCAGCCCAGAGGCGGCCCTGAGGGAGGGGCCGTGCAGCGGGGGACGGCGCCATGCGCTGTTTGCCGGCCGACGCGGCCCAGCAGGCCAGAGCGGGGCTGGCTTGGACCCGACCTCGCGGTGCGGGCCGCGGTCGGGGCTCGCAGAGCGGTAACGGCCCCGCGGGGCCCGGCGGGATCCCGGCGGCGGCGCCTCAGGGCCCGGGCCCGGCCTCTCAGGGCCCTCGCGGGCAGCGGCGCCGCGCGCAGGCGCGGGCGGACGGCGCGGGGCCGGGAGCGGCTCCCCCCCCCCTCCCCCTCGGCGGCCCTCCCGGCATGCCCCGCGCGCGGGCGGCAGGGCGGGCTCTCGCCACACAAAGGCTCGGCGCTGGCAAAATGGCGGCGGCAGTAGCGGCGGCGGCGGCGGGCGGCGAGGGGGCCGCCAACAAAATGGAGGAGCCGCCCGTGGGGGCGGCGGCTGCGGCTGCGGCTTCTTCTTCGGCGGCGCAGACGGCAGCGGCCGCCGCCCCGCCACCGCCCAACGGGGCGGGGGGTGCTGGGGACGCGCCCGTGAAGAGGTAATGGGGGGGGAGGGGGTGGGGGGGCTGTGGGGCCTCGCGCGCGCGCGGCGGGGCCTGGGCCTGGGCCTCGCCTTCGTCCTTGTCCCCGTCCTTGTCCCCGTCCCCGTGGCCGTTGTTGATTTCCCTTCGTGTCCCAAGGGGCCCGGCCGCGCTCCGGGCTCCCTGTGCGGCCCCGAGGCTCGCAGGCCGCCTGGCAGCCTCCGAGGCCTGGACGCGGAAGGAATCGGGATCGCGGTCGATCATCGAGGTTTTTGGGGGTTCTGTTGAGGCCCAACAGAAACGTTTCCTCAGTAAATGTAAATCTTTCCCTAAGGGTGTAAGTACGCCCGGCGGGAGGCGTTTTGGAGCTCTGAGCTGTTTTTTCTAACTGTTGTGTCAGTGGATGGTGAGTTGTGGTAGGCCGTTGTCGTTGTTCACGTTGCTGCGGTATCTGGAGCAAAGCGTGGCGCTGCCTCATCCAGAGAAATAAGTTGGTTAGGGAGGCATCGGAATTCAGTGCCTCAAGACCAAGAGATAACTTGAAAGTGATGCCAGAGCCTAAGTAAGGGTCGTTTGTTGGATATAAGTGCAATATTACAGAAATATTAATAGTAATAATTTCCAAGGATTATGGTTATTGGTCTGTAAATATGAAGTTCATAAGCAGAAAAAATTTGAACTGTGTGTTGCTTTCACATGTGAACACTAACCTAATTTTGAGAAGTTTTATAGTTAGCAGAAGGTTTTTTTTTTTTTTTAAATTCCGAGTAAGGACTGCATTTTTCCAGTTAACTTTTGTCCCCAGGCCTGAAATCTTACGTAGTTAAGAATCAGCATTTTTAACGCTGTGTTCTGGGAGTGATCTGTTAGACTTCTGGTCAGATTTGTTTACCTGGTGTTCCGAGTTGTGCTATGTAAGTGGGCATTGGGCAGGTTCCTGGTTGCTAACGGCTGTTACACCGTGCTGCAAATCTGCAGTCCGACTAAGAGTTGAGAGAGAAGAAAAAAATTGCAGCCAGAAGTATGTCAGTCGAGGCTAGCGAAGGGTCTTCAGATCATCCTCCTTCCTCCTGTTGGGTGTTTGGTATTTGGAGGATATTCCCGTCTTTGGATTCTGGTTACAGTTCAAAGCTTGCTGAAGTTTCACAGTAGCAGTGCCTAGGTAATACGGTTAAAGGAATTTCTCTGAGATGAGGCTTTCTGTAGCCTTGAATTATTTCAGCTTGGAACCCAAGGAAAATTAAGATAAAATATCTAATGAAAGTAACTTATTGAATACATTTTTTTTCTATACACTTTGCCATGGGGGTGTTATTTTTTTGTATTTCTTGCATTAGCCTTGTTGTAAATGGGTCACAGTTATTCACCATTGTTCCTTACTGGGATGGGAATTTCACTCCTGTTTTTTAATTCCCTAAACCTAATTTATTTCATCCCCATTTACAGCGGGAATTTTGTCTCCCATTTTTTTTAACTTAGCAATGCCTGCAGGCGTGGTGTATTTACGGAGAGGATGTGGGGAACTCACTTCTTCCTGCTGTCCAGAACTGCCTTTAAATGCTCAGTTGTTCTCGTACTTGGCAACCACAGCGATTTCTGTGGCCACGTGCCTGCCTGTCCTCCTTTTAGTGCTGGAGGATGCCCACGGACAGTTGTTGTCTGACGTCCTGCGAAAGAGAAACAATGCAGCCAGAGTAGTTTCCTTGCTATTTCTCTAGACCAGGCTGGATTTTGTTACATGAAATGTGATAAGGAAAAATTTCTAGACTAGTGTTTGTCTCTAATAGCGGGTACAATGGCTTGCCTGAATTCTTTATAGGTATATGAGAGCTTGACATGTGATAATCTGCCCCGGGAGCTTTAAACGTAGAGTTGCAAAGATCTCTGCATCGCACCCCGTGACTTTGAAGCAAGTTACACGGCAGTTCTACCTGTGGATAGCTTGAATGGTTCTGGTTTGAGGAATAGCCATAGAAAACTGTTCATTAGGTGTAGCATTTCACACAATTGCTGAACTTTGTGTTATTTCTTCAGCTAAACAGAAGCTCGAGTATTAAAAGGATTGTCCAGTTTTAAATCTGCTTTTGGATTTTTAATTACTTGATTACTCAATTTTTTTTTATTTTTTTAAGCACAAAGGAGGGAAAGCCTAAAATTTCCTTTTTTTTGATTAAACACAGTAAATGACTAAAGAACATTTTTTTCATTAGAGACCTCTCTTCCAAAATACTAGTTATGTGCAGAACTTGTCTTCTGTTGTCTAAGTGGTACGCGATGGCCATAACTAAGGTCAAATACTGTTAGCAGTTCTGGCTGTGTCTGTGAAGTACAATATTTTTGTTTGCTTTTAATGTGTTTGTGGCTGTAAAAGCATGGGTTGCCTTGTAGTAAAAACGAGGAACCCACTCAAATATCACACTCGATAGGCATCTGCATACTTTTTTTTTTCCCTCCAGGCTGTTGTATCTGCTCAGTGATTTAATTTTTAAAAAATTTTTATTTGTATATTTATATACATTTTATTTTGTATATACAGTTTGTATATTTATATGCAGTTTATTTGAATACTGCTATTTAGTGGCATTTGTATTGTTAACTAATAGTGGTGTAGGTTAGTTGAAAAACAGTCTTCACTTTGCATTTGTTAATTGTAATCTGCTGGAGCTTGTGTTCTGAAATAGTAAAAACAAACAAAAAAAACTATTCAGTGTGCTTGAAAGGCACAGACTTTGAATTTGTGCTCTCCCAAACGGTATTAACTGAGGGGGAGGAAGATGGTTTAAAAAGAGTGTCACAGACATGAGTGCTTAGATATGGGATCACTTCACTGAAATTCTTGTAGTGCAAAAATACAAATGTGATAGGTGAGAGAATTATTGGTCGCAAAGATGTCAAAGTGTAGTATGTTAAAGAGAAAATAGGGTGTGTGTCTGGAGCATCACAAGGAGATGAAGTTAGGCCTGCTTGGCTTTGAAGAGATTTAGCCTCCGCAGCCAAAACCTTTGGTTACGTTGCATAAATAAACGTGGGAGAAAATGGTGGGTCTTAGTGATCTGAGTTGTCTGCTGTTAGGAACTTCATTGCAGTGGTGCGTGTAGCACTAATACCATGAGTACCAACTTGTCTTCTTACTACTATTTTGCAAATAAATGAACAGATGAAAGTTTGTGAGTTTTGATTTTTTTTGGGAACACAAGAAGTCATGTTCCAGGAGGTGATACGACACTAATCAACTGCCAGAGTGGTTAATGTGTCCAATTATCTGTTTGCAGTGAAAATGAACGACCAACTCAAAGTGAGAAAAGGAAAGAGAAGAGCGTCAAGAGAGGAGGAAATCGCTTTGAGCCGTATGCTAACCCTGCTAGAAGATACAGAGCTTTTATTACAAATATTCCATTTGATGTCAAGTGGCAGTCTCTGAAAGACCTGGTCAAAGAGAAAGGTAATGTACAACCAGGGCTGACCAAGTGATGTCTGTCGTCTTACTCGTAACAGACTTGGTAAGCTTAACAGTTGAAGTTCTGGGTGGACTTAGTGACACGAGTTTTACAGAAGGTCTCGAAGCCTTTTTTGGTGTTGCACAATACCGTGCTCTGGCAGCCTTCCAGATGGATAGTTCCTTCATAGGCATGTTGGCGTATCTTTAATAGTGTTTCATCAGAGATTAAAAAGAGCATTTGTCTTATGGGTGGAAAAATAATAAAAATAATAAAAAAAAAAAAAAGAAAAATGAGGCTTTTACCAGATTTTGGTCTTGACATGAGCAAAACTTTCTCAAGTGTTTTCATGTCTTTTGGGTTATAAAGGTAGCCATACAATGTTGATCTGGTGTATGTATATGTAGCTGTTTTTCTAAACTTCGTAGTGATTTGTGCTTACATAAAGATCCATCCTGCAATTGGATAGCAGTAAAAATGTATTTAAGGGTGACCTGCAAAGAAGAAAAATCAGGTTTGTGCTTTAGTGCAATCAACGTGGGTAGGGCTTTGGAAACCAAGTTCATGATGTCTTCCTCCATCCCTACCTGTATTTAACTTACACCTGTGAATGGGAACCTTCTTAGTTTGCTGAAGAGATTGAGCTGATTATTCTCAGGTGGTGATAAGTCTAAATGCATCTTCTTGGCTCACTTGGCATTATTTCTTTAAGTTGATGCCCAGCCTACAAGTTTTCAAGTCACTTTGGAAGTGCAGTGGAGTGGCAAGAAAATACTTGGCTTCTCCATCATTAAAATGTCTCAAAACTTGTTAGGCCTAAGTAGTATGAGCATTGCTCTTGTGGGTCACTGCTAAAATACATACCATCAGACGTGTCTTGCATAACAGTGATCAATGTTCACTTGTGTTTGAACTTGGTAAGGATCGGTGGTTAGTGACTTCACAAGTTGTGGCCTAATGAATCGGGGGGGAAAAAAAAAAAAGAAATTTCCAAAATGGTTTTACAACGTCTGTCTGTGGAGGCAAAATGGAGCTGCTTAGTCTGCGTAGTGAACTTCAGGACTATAAGCCCTGGCAAACTTCCATAATTAGAGGCTGTGAAACGTTGATGCTTGAGATGCAACGATGGTTTCTTGTAATCTGAAGAACTGCAGTCTTAAGACTGCTTTAACAGACCCTAATTATGCATGGTCCCCTGTCCTAAGCTGTGTTAGCACTTAGCTACACGAGATACATTGGTTAATAGGAGTATCTGTATGTGTAGATGTCTAATTTTAAGTACTGTGTTGAATTCCGTTCCAAGTGTCTTGTGGTTTCTCTCCAGTTCACGTGGATGGAAAAGTCCGATGTGAGATTGTTTCCTGCCTTGCTGTTCAGCTGCTCATTCCAGCAGATAATCCTAGGGGAACGTTGAAACCTCTTCAGTCTGTCTGCAGGGCTTGTCTACGTATTGAGAATACGCATTGTTCTTGGTTTTTGGGACTGCTTGTTAAAACATAACAGTTTAGATTTGCTGCGTAGTTGTGATTCATTCTAATTAGTCCCAGACTTCTACCAAATTGGTGCTCTTGTGCTGCGCTTGAACTTGCTGAATCGGTGCTTTTTGATATAAGGCATAGTAGTTCCAAGAACCAGGAATGTGGCTGTGGAAAAACCTAAACGTGAGAATTCTTGGTTTGTAAGTGCAAGAATCACAGGCCAAACGTTCAAGGCTTTGAGAGCATGTGAAATGGATCTGTACGCAAAGGGTAACCGTAGGTGATTCATGACTGTTGCATTGCTCGGCAGTCATAAAGACGGAAGCTGTTAGCAGCAATGGCATAGCAGGTTACCGAACGTAGGAGGAGTTCACCTCCGTCGGCTCTTTTGTGTCAGTAAGTATGGGTTAGGAGACATTAGCTTTGAGGTCTCATATTTCTGCAACTTGGTTTGTTCAGATGCGTACATCTGAAATCTAAAGGTGACATCTCTCAAGAGAAATGCCTTGGTTTAGTCATTTCAGTGTACTTGTTGGTGAAACTCAATTACAGGTATGCAGTATAACACAGTTATTAACGAAATTAAAAAATGTTCTTGTTTGAAACTCCCTTGTATTGGCTGACAAACACAAGGTTCTACTAAACTGAGGTAATCAGCATTGCTACCTGGTAAGTGGCTTCAGGAGAAGAACGAGGCAGCAGTTCTTCTGCGTGGAAGTGGAGTCTAACGGTAAACGTAACGTGATTGAGTGCTAAATATTGGCCTTAACCTGTCCTCCCCAAAATGGCTCTGTTTTGGGAAGCAAAATGTAAATACTTTGTGGCAGCTGGTATACGTAATGTGATACTATGTAATTAAAAAAAGAGTTTGAGGTATTTATGGATTCTTCTAGGAAATAGAGAACTTTGTATCTTAAACCTTTTCCCTGACAAGAGTAGCAAGGTGGCATACAACACAAGGGGAAATGTTAGCTGTAGGATCTGCTTTGTTGCAAAGCTAGGAGCAGTTGCAGTCATGGTGGCCGTTGTCACATCACAAAGATTTCAGGACACCCTAGGGACTACTTGTATTAACATGGTTTTAACCTCATACTTAAAGCATACACATGGTATCTGACAGGTGTGCTTACCTCTTCATATCAGAATCTGAACGTGTGAACAGAGACAAGGAAAAAAACAAAGCCGTTCCCAGCTTAACCTTGCTATGAAGAAAAGCAACCACCAAACTAAATGTGGTGCCTTCTGTCTTTCTCCATCTTGAGTAATTGTTAGTGTCTTTGTCACCCCTTAAAGATGTAACTCATGCCCTCTTGTTACTGGACCTGAACGCAGGTGCTGTCGAGCACTTCTGTCAGCTCGGTTCTGACAGCTGTTGCTCTGGTACCTGAACGCAGCTCTTCCTGGAGGGCCACCTGTTTCAGCATCTCAGTTGCAGCTTTGTTAGCTGAAGATGTTTCAGCTTGATTCACTTTTTGATTAAATCAGAAAGCTTTCTGCAATCAAAAGTTAAAGTTTAACTAGCTATTTGGCATTTTAGTCATTTGTAGTTTTAAGATATCTTTTCAAGAATGATGAAAGACCTGACTGCTTTCAAATGTCAAACCTTGACAGTAGTCTTCAGGTGGATGTGAGAATACCAAAGTATCTTTTTCATGTATTTACATGTATGGTGACTGCAGATAGCAAGGTTTGATAATACAAATATGTAGTGGGACTTTACAACAGGGCATAGAGTGTTCTTAAAAAAAATAAAATAAAAAGAACAAGTAGCCAAGAGCTGCAGTAACTGCAAGCTTTTAACTTGCTTTTGCATAATTTTTGCCATTTAGGACTGTGAAGTCATTAACTTGTGTACCTAATTGCCCAGAGTTAGGTTGTGAGCACAAATATTGAAGTCTGGTGTTTGAGTACGGAGCTTCACTGAAATGTCTTGAGAAACCATCAGTGGAGATCAGTAACTTATAATAGGACTTTCAAGTGTAAATGTTGCTTGTGTATTCTTAAGTATATCTTGCATTTCTGCTGTTGCTGTTAAATTTAATGGAAATGTTACCATCTTGGAAAATCTACATAATTTTTCGTTAGAGCAGAAATTGTACTTAGCTCAGGAACACCACCACCTTGCAGCAGCTTTGTGCAAGATGTGGTACAGTCAGCTTCCTAGTAAGACGGATGGAGGAGTTTTCAGTATCACTTGAATGCTAACAACATCTTAAGCAAGTATCTTAAACTTTAATTGGACTATCTACATTGAAAGCTTTAATACTAATAGACTTTGAAACACGGTAGTGGGATCTGAGTGTATCTTCTGTGTTGCTTTAATTGTTCTAACCATCTTTTCCAGGTGGTCCTTCAGTGGATTCAGGGAGCTTTGCACTTCTCCTTTTCTTCCAGGGCTCTTTAAGAACCAAAATTACCCATGCTTACACCAATGGGGAACGTATTCCTTAATCACTTTTACATTAACTTAGAGCTACTGGCTCTAAGTTTCTGCAAATTTTATCTGCCCTTGGAGGCTGATCTGGTAACTATAGAATCAGAGAATGGTTGGAAGGGACCTTGAACATCATCTAGTTCCAACTCCTGCTAAATCAGGTTGCCCAGAGCCCCATCCAGCCTGGCCTTTAACACTCCCCAGCTTTCCTGCAGCCCACTTCAGGTACTGGGAGGGCCGCTACAAGGTCTCCCTTCTCTTCTCCAGGCTGAACAACCCCAACTCCCTCAGCCTATCTTTGAAGAGGTGCTCCAGCCCCTTGATCATCTTGGTGGCCCTCCTCTGGACTTGTAATGTGTCCCTGTCCTTCTTGTGCTGCAGGTGGTGCCTCATGAGAGCAGAGGGAGAGAATTGCCTCCCTTGACCTTCAGGTCATGCTTTTGTCGATGCAGCCAAGGATACAGTTGGCTTTCTGGGCTGCAGGAGCACACTGCTGGCTCATGGTTAGTTTTTTATTAATTAGCAGCCCCAAATGCTTCTCAGGAAGGCTGCTCTCAATCCATTCGTTGCCCAGCTTGTTCATGTTTGGGATTGCCCTGACCCAGCAGCAGCACCTTGCACTTGGCCTCGCTGGACTTTGAGGTTTGTACAGGTCAACCTCTCAAGCCTGTTGAGGTCCATCTGGAGCAGAAAAACTAGGCTGCGTTTTTTTATGTTTTATTTTTTTGAAAGTTAAGTAATCTCTTGTGCTTGAATGAAATTCCTTCACTTGTGGCTATACGGGGTGTCTTTCCTGATGCAAGCCAACTATTTGCTAGCAGAAGGAAAATCTGCATGGATCACTGTTTCTTTTTTCTCCAAAGGTTTGGACATAGTGGTTTGGGATCTGAAAAGAAACCAAATAAAATGTGACCCAGTGTAGGTTCCTTTTTTTTTAAAAAAAAAAAACCTTTGTCAGTCTCAAACAATCGTTTCCTGGAGGAATTGTCCTGTTGAATCTTCTTGCGTTTTTCAGGGGAAAAGTGCACTTTTATTGTAGTTGTTCTTTAATCTGGACTTGTCTTGGATACTGATCTTCTATTCTACATGTCATTCCCCCTCTCCTTATTGTGTTCGTGTGTTTTGGCTATACAGGAAATTCAGATTCCCTTTCAAAGGAAAACATCCCTTTCAAGATATGTTTTGTTTTCAATACAGGTGTGTCTAAGGCTTGAATGTGAAGTATTGAGCAAAATTGACAAACTCTTCAAAGTGCTACACTATTGCCTGTGTAGTAGACTTGAGGAAATCTTGTTCAGAGGTCAAATTTGCATATGTTAAATTGTATTTAATATATTGCAAACTTTTTTTTGGGAAATGTTTGTGTGCATTTTAAGAGATGTAGCTGGCTTTGATTAGTGGTTGGGAGAGGAGAGCCCTCAGTCCAGAGCCTAAATAATGTTACTGGGAGAAATGAGTTACAGGATTTATAACCTGTAATCTCTGGGGTCTCTGAAATGGAATGGTTTTTGTATTGTAGGGAATCTGAGAATTTGTTGTTCTCGATAAAAGTTCGTTTGGACTCTGGCTGCTGCTGTTGAGATGGATGGCTTCAGAATGACCTCGTAATGCTGAATATTTGGGCTGGCCATATGGGCCCCATGTACCACCAAGGATGATGCTAGGATGCCTGTTACAGTGCAGCCCCTTTCACTGCAATCCCATGGGTACATAATCTCATAGTGCTCAGGTTGTAGATAGTAATTCAACACTCTAATCTCACCTGGCCCTCTCAAAGGGATTTATTAGCCTCTACTAGTCCTGAATGCTTTGTATCCTCATGGAAACATGAATGGATCTCACTGCTTATTCTGCCAAGCTAACTACTCTCTGGCTGGAATGCTGATATTGTTTAATAATTTTCAATATCAGAAATGCAAAGAGAATGTCATTTCATCAAGCATTCCTTTTCTTCCAGCTTCTAGAAGAAATGTGGGATGTTCACTTTAGGGAATGACACTAGGTGTCTGATAAATGATGGGGCCTGTGGGAGATGAAGCTGAGCACTCCTCTCTGGCCCTTGCAGAGAGGTGAGGCCCTTACATCGAATGTGAGCTTCTAGTTCCTTGCTTAGGGTATGCTGGCAGTACTTTGTTTTTTATGTTTTTACGGTTTGGTTGTTTCTTTCCCACAAAGACTGCTTTCTTTTCATCTTTCAGATAGTGTAACTTGGAGCCTGTCTTAAATTTAAAAACCAGAACTTTTAAAACCAGAGAAAAAAAAGTATTAAAGAGTTTTCCTCAATTATTCTGAATAAATTCTGTATGTCAGTCCCTTCAAAGTCAGCAGCCATTTTAGAAGTTGTATTCCAGAGGTACATGATATGGTTACGTGGTCAGTTAGGGAAAAAGCAATCCTAGTCTTGTGAGGAAAGGTGCAAATATAGTTTCCTAGTGCACTTTGCCTTTTGCTGTAGGCTCTTGTCTTGAGGGCGAATACGACAGTTTAACACTAACCTAAAAAATATGGAACCTAATAAAGGATTTAAATTTTGCTGTGACTTAAAGGCTAAACTGCTGAAATAAAAAGCAGGCAGTGAGTGATCTCTTGGTGTGTTGGGCCGGTCTGATCCCCTTTTGGGATGTGTGCCAGAGGAAAAATCCTGAGAAAAGCAAGCAACTGTTTGAGTTCTGGACTGTGGAGACAAAATGGTGTACTACGTGAAGTGAGGGAAACTTGTTCTTGCAGACTTCCCCCTGGATTTGGATTGCCTCAAGTAACGAGTGAGCACTAAAGGTCGAGGAAATTGGTACTGTGGAAATAGCTGGCTTTTGAAGTGGAGGAAAATCAAGAACATGTTTAAGTCTTACAATGTTACTGCATACCTGTAATTGTCCAGTTTTGTGGTTTAGAGAATATGGAGTGTTTCTGGGCTTTCTTATAAGGCAGAGGCTCCATACACGGTTGTTGATTGTTCTAAATTCCCATTGTTTTCTTGGCTTTTCTCCCTTGGTATATGTGTCGTCTGGAATCTGATTTGTAGTTGGTGAGGTAACATACGTGGAGCTCTTAATGGACGCTGAAGGAAAGTCAAGGGTAAGTGTTTGAGAGAATTTCTTCTGTGGATTTTCTACATGACAAATGTAACTGTATGGTGGCGTGGAGCGAAAGGAAGTCAGGAAGGTAGAGAGTGTGTATGCTTAGCGGCTATAACAGGATTGCTTAAAAGCTTCTTTGGGGCTGGGGAGGCGGGGGGCTGGGGACTTGTAAGAGCAGTGTTAGGGTGGTCTTCCACTTGTGTTCAGGTGGCGTTGGCTGTTTGAAGTACCCATGGACACTAGCAGTACGTACAGTGGTACTGAAGGTTAACTTGTGTTTTGGAAAACGTTACTGTAGTGGTTTGCTGAATTTGTAAGGCCAGTGTGCAAAAGCAGGTTCTGGAAACTATACTTCCCGTGCCAGTAAACAGAAGTTAATTTGCAAGTTAAACGTATATTGCCTTTATAGGTACTTAAGTCAATTAGTCCAGTGAAAGTATCTTGCAGGAAAAAAATACACAGTAGGAGTTCACTTAACTGTACTGAAGGATATGGATTTAGGGTGAGAGAATATGGCAAGGATTTGTCTGTATGACAGAGAAGAACGGTTGATACGGAGTGTGTGGTATTTTTCTTGGAGATCCTGGACTTAGTTCTGCTTGTTACAACTTCAGAAACTACAGTTTAATCCTGTTATGGCATAAGAAATTATATCTTATGGAATTCAAGTAATGAAGGCTTTATTGGGTAAGATTACATTTATTTTTGCCCCTAGGGTTAACTAATGTGATTTGACTTTTTATTTTTTAAAAAGTGTTTTGTGCTTTTACTTACTTTATTTTTTTCTTCCCTCCTCTGCTTGTTACTCGCCTCTGAAATCAAATCACCAGGGATGCGCGTAAGTTCACTTACGAATTTATAGCAAGAAATAAGGAAATAAGATATGAGCAGTGTTCTTAGATGTCTTGTATCTTCACAGTGTTGTTGAATTCAAGATGGAAGAAAGCATGAAAAAGGCTGCAGAGGTTTTGAACAAGCATAGTCTTGGTGGAAGACCATTGAAAGTGAAAGAAGTAAGACTCGCATCTGTTCTTTTAGTATCTTGGATTTAAGGTGAAGGGGATACCTCTTAGTCAAGCTTTATGGCTGGCTCATTTGCAGATAAGAATATTTGCCAAAGTAGAACTCTTCAAATAGAATTTAAAAAGACACACAGCTTGTTTTATTACCAGAACCTGTTGCCAAACTTGAGCTTGAACTCAGTTGTCAAGACTGAACTTGACTTAAAGAATAGGTGCTACTGACAGCAATGCAGAACGTGGGTAAAGCAAGTGTTTGGCTTGAACTGCTGGTGTTCTTCTTTATCATTTGATAAAGAAACCTGCATAAGTATTTTGTTCTTGACTCACTTCTCATCTAATTCTGCACCATAATAAATGTATTTTACAAACAATTCCATAGAATAAGGTGGTTTCTGAAATACTTCAAAGATTTATTTCCATTCTTATGGCTTTTCTATTTTCAATCACTATAACACGCTCAACTGTGCTGCGAGTTACTCCTTATCTATTGACAAGTTTAAAGCTTTATTCCAATACTTTGGGAACTGTAGTTGCATCAAAGGTCCAATTAAAAATCAAGAGACTTCCTTCAGTGTTAGCAGTGACTCTTGACCTTATGGTATGCAAGCTATATTTTTGGCTAAGCAAGCTTCATGTTCTGCTGTGCCTACCCCACCTCCCAGTGTTTGGGCAAAGATACCTGCACGAGTATAAGGTGGGAAATGTGTGCACAAGTTCCACTCCTAGCAACCTGCGTTCTGAGGAGCGCTTCAGGAGAAGAATGGAGAGAGCAAGTGGCAGCACTTCTTGGAACTGGCATATTAATAAATTCTGGGGGCAGTAGCCTGCTTCTCACTGCAACCTATCTTCTGGTACTGTTGACCTCTTATACCCTTTAAGGGAAGTGAGAGGTGAAATGGAAGGCTAGAAAAACAGTTCTGTCTGGAAGTTATCAGGTACTGACTTTTCTAAGGGGCTTTTGGAAAGAAGTGTGGATCTGTTTTGCTGTTAAAGGTATACCTTTAACGGGTTGTGCCTTTGGTATCAGTCCTTGAGAAGTGGTTGTGACTTGACCAAGTCTTTGCAAAACAATTGCCATACTTGAATATTTCTGCTTCTATGGTAGAGACAGAAATGTACAGCTGAAATCAGCAAAGAAGCATGTTATTACCTTTAAGGGGTTCAGCACCATTTATCCCACGTGCCGCAGTCTGACTGCGGAAGGAGCTAAGTTCCTGTAGATGACCATTAGAAGTAGTTTTGCCAACTGCCTGTATATACCTCTCCGTGTGGGCTGTCTCATTGCTGAGAAACATGAAAGCCTTCATATGACTGACCAAAAAAATAATAACTTTCACATGATTAATCCAGCTATCATTTCTCCTGTTTTCAGAAATGTGCTATTTTTTGCCTTAAAATTCAGATGAAGACTAAAATTCATTTAAATATGTTTTAACACATCTGTGTTTCCGACTAATTAATTCTATTTTGATGTTTCACTTTCTTCAGCATAAAGTACTTGTACATTTTGCTCACTGAATATGGTGTGGCGCTTCCAACTTAAGTGACATAAATTTACCATGTATTATGAAGGTACTTGTCTTCACTTTCAGTATGAAGTGAAGCTACGATAGCTTTATATCCTTGCTGGAAGTCTTCATCCTATACTTCATATTTTCTAGCATACCCTAAAATCATGAGTTTTGATAGTAGTACAGTGATACATTCCAAGTTTTTTTTCAATTTGGAAACCTAGTGTGAGGGGGAAAAAGAGCATCCCAAACCCCACTTTGTGAACTTTTTACACACTGTATCTTGTCTTGTAAGGAAGTCTAACTGCAAGAGAAATGAGTTGTACTGATTTGAGGATGCCAAAAGTTAATCAGTGTTTGTCTTCCAAGGCCTCCCTAGTACCGTTGTATCTTTAGAACAAATGTTGCTGTGGAGTTTATTGTTGGTATTAAATAATAGATACACACCTGCGGAACTGGGGGAAATGCATGGATAGGAGTAACTTGTGAACTTGAGGTGTGCTGGTGCATTGATCTGAAAACTTAAAAAAATAATAATTAAAAAAAAGTAGTTGGCTGGAGATCTGTAGGGACCTTGTATAAATGAATATCCCCTTTTGACTTTTGGCCTTGCTGCTAAATCCTCATATATTCGTTGGGGTACAGATTAACTTAGTATGTTGTTTGTGTTTTTTTTAGGATCCTGATGGCGAACATGCCAGGAGAGCAATGCAGAAAGTCATGGCAGCTAGTGGAATGGGTATTGGTCCAGGTCCAGGTGGCCCTGGAATGCTCAATATCCCACCTAGTATACTCAACAATCCCAACATACCCAATGAGATCATCCATGCCTTACAGGCAGGGAGACTTGGAAGCACTGTCTTTGTTGCAAATGTAAGCGTTGTGTGGTCTCTGAACAGGGTCTAAATTGAGTAGAATCTAATGAATTAGAGGAAAAGCTGTAGGCTTCCAGCTCTATTCCAGTAAAATGAAGTATTCTGTGACTAGTCTTGTTCTCTTCAGTTGGAACACTGCCGAGTGGGAAGTAAGTTTTCACTCTAATGTATGAACAAAAAAGGAGAACTTCCCCTTGACTTTCAAGGGGTATGCCCTGTTGTGGATATAGCATAAAAACAAACATTTCAGTATGCACATAGAGCAAGAATAGGGCTAATTTTCAAATCCTAAAACTGATCTTGATGTGGAGAAATGTGTCTTGTTTGAAGGAGGGGCAGTGGGAACGTATTTAAGCAAGTTCAGTGGTGAGATGACAAGCTATATAAGAATCTAGAGAGTGTGAAATTGTGGAAGTTTGTTCAGCTTTAAAGGAAGAAGGTGAAAGGGATAACTGGTGGTTGTCTCCATCACCCTGATTCAGATGATACAGAGAAGATGGGTCCAGACTTGTTGCCGTGGACATCAGCTGGAAGATGGGCAACACCATTTAAATACTAGAACTATTTCTTTTTACTTTGAGACAGGTGAAATAAAGGAGTGACTGCCAAAAGTCTGTACGCACTTAGGTGTTCAGAGCTGAGCTGGGCATAGCCCTGAACAACCTGAACTAATTATACCTGTTCTCAGCAATAAGTTAGAATAATGACTTTCAGAAGTTCCTTTCCAGCCTAAATTGTTCTGTGATTCTCTTTGCTAGTGAAGTTGTAAGATTAAGTTGTATCCTATATATTACAGTAATTGGTAATTTGCATTTTTGAACAGAGCTAAAAACAACTCATTTAGCATTCTCTAGCATTCTATTATTTAAATTTTGTCCTATGTCTGTGAAGATGACTACTCAGGATTGTAGATACCAGGAAATGAAACTGATGAATGCTGAAGATACTCTTTGGATGGAAAGCTTTCTAATACTTCTAATATTACTTATCTTCCAGCTGGATTACAAGGTTGGGTGGAAGAAACTGAAAGAAGTATTCAGCATGGCTGGTGTTGTGGTTCGGGCAGACATCTTAGAAGATAAAGATGGCAAGAGTCGTGGGATCGGAACTGTCACTTTTGAACAAGCTATAGAGGCTGTTCAGGCTATATGTATCCTTGAAATGTATTACTGGTAAATAGTAGACAGGTTTGGCACTCCATCCTGCGCTAACTTCCATGAGTTCACAAATAACCATTAAGAAAAGCAGGATGAAAATAAAAGTAGTAGTATTACAACTGAGGATATTGCCTTATTGTGTTAAGTGAAGCCACTGAAGTGTATGGAAAATGTAGGGAAAATGAAAAGGAGAAAAAAAACAAACTTCAAATAATATTTGTTTGCTCAAAATCATTAACAAATAGATGTGAATTTCTAACTCAAATAGTAATATTTTTTCTGTCAGAGTTAGTATTGAATTAAAATACAATTTCTAAGAAAAGATTTGTCCTAAATTCCTGTGATGGAGGTAAAGGAGGAGTGAAACGCGTCCATCTGCAGTGTAAGCAGGCTTGATCTGGTGTGTTTCCCTGTCAGCCATATTACACTGCAAGGTGTGATTTGCTGTGTAGCAGTCTACCCACACAAACGCAGAATTGCAGTGTGGATACTACTGCATGCTTCATCTCTCAACTTGGGTCTATGGTGTGGAAGGGAGAGAAATGTTTAAACACCTAGGCTGGTTTCGAGACACTTTAAGTGGTGTCTTAATGTCTTTAATATGAATCAGAAGACTATTTTTGTAACTCATGTTTTAATTTTAAAAACAAAACCCAGTCTTTGAATATTCAGTGATTTGGTTTGGAAGCTTTTCAGTTTTGGAGAAAGCGAAAGGGTATCTGATAACCCGTGAATGACAGTATAAGAAGCTACCTGGAGTCTTGTGGTTTTCTGATAGGGTTTTCATCAGATAGTACTTGGAGTTTTAAGACTTTTTGTGGTTCCAGTGCTTGAAACATGATCCTTAATGAAACGAAAGCGATGTTTAATGGGCAGCTGCTGTTTGACAGACCAATGCATGTAAAAATGGTAAGTACGTTCAGATTCTTACTAGTTTTTGAACTGATAATGTCCTCCAGACTTTTTTTTTTTTGGATGATGTGTGGCTTCAAGGTTGGTGCGACCTTCCCAGGGCAAACAAAGGTAAATAGCACATCATGACAGAGAAGTACAGCCCTGTACTTTCCATCTCACTTTCAACTCATGGGTTGAAATACTGGGGGAAACGAGTTCTGTTTAAAGGACTTGGCCTAATACCTAATGCTGTCAACTCACACAGTTATTGAAGGTTATTTCTAATTATTTTTCTAAAAGACAATCATAAATATAGTAAGAATTAGTTTAGCTTTCTCGAATTACCTTTTAAAAAAAGGTAGGAAATCTTTCTAGTGAGAAAGCAGGCCAGAGTTGTGTACAAACTTAATGTATCAAATTATTTTTAGGATGAACGAGCCTTTCCAAAAGGAGATTTCTTTCCTCCAGAGCGACCACAACAACTTCCTCGTAAGTCTCTGCTGTATGACTGAATATGTTATGTTTTTAACTTGTCTTTGCAGCAACTTGAATATTTGCAAAATGAGACTCAATTCAAAAGCATTTGGCTCTCAGGTTTGCATTTAGAGAGATTTCCTGTATATTCCTGGATTATATCTATTACTGAGTTTGTCTGCTGACAAGCAAAGCTGAGTTGTTAATAGTCCATAGGAAACTTGTGCTCAAGAGGTACTGCCTCTGTAACCTGCCATATGTAGGAGGAACAGATGAATAAACAGAACACAACTAAAAACTCTGAGCTGTTGTTAAGATGTTTAGGCAACTTCTGTTACTCCCCATCTGCTCAAATCCAGCCCGAGTAAAACTTTGGTTCAGCCTGCTGAAAATTGGGGGTTCAAATGGCCTTAATATCTAAGAGGTTAATATAAATAAGTTTCAGTCCTGTTTCTTTTTGGATACTTCCTTCAGCTCATAGCTAAAAGTTTGTCTTAAAAACAGTATTCCATTCATGTTCTCAAAGCTTCCAAGTCTCTTGGTTGCAAGTCAGAGGTCCTGATGCCTTGTAGGGCTATTGTTAATAACAGGTTTTAATGGAAATTTCATCAGTTTATAAAGAAAAGTGTGCACCCTTCTACATACTGGTACCCTGGGTGTCTAATGGTTTTCCTTCAGTTTAAAGGGCTGGGTTGAGTTCTTAAGCATCTTCTAGGTCTTCAGGTTTCTTAGGGGAATAAATACTAGAAGGGAGGGTACAGGGATAACAGAGCCAGGCTCTTTTCAGTGTTGCCCAGTGCAAGGACCAGAGGCAGTGAACACAAACTGAAATAGAAGGCTCCATCTAAACATAAGGAAACTTTTTTTTTTTTTTAACTGTGTGGGTCACTGAGTAGTGGAGCAACAGATTGCCCAGAGAAGTTACAGAGTCTCCATCGTTTGAAGTATTCAAAAGTTGTCTGTATGTGGTCCGGGGTAATGGGCTCTAGGTGACCCTGCTTGATGTGGGGGATTTGTGCCAGATTACCCCCAGAGGTCCCTTGTTCCCTTGACCATTCTGGGATAAGATAATGAAAGTGTTGAGCAGGAGTAGACTGGGTCGGAAAGGAGAATTAATGGTAAGGAAAAGCCCTACTGTCTTACAGCTGAAACTGTTCTAAAATGTATGTAATTCTGCTAATTCAGCCAGGATTTTTAAGAATTTTTTTTAGTCATGGAAAGAAAACCTGTGTATGCTGTCACCTTGAATAATTCTCTATCAACCCATCCTTTAATTAAACAATTTTCTGTGTATCTACCAGAACCTTGTTCAGCAGCCGTAGCATCCACAGGTTTTTTTTTTTTTACTGTTACCATGACTTCCTGTAATGGTACACCTCGTCAAGAGAAAATCACTGCTTTTCTGTTTAATTATTACTGTATGAAATGGAACAAATAATGATGGAAATGTATTTCTTGGCCTTTAAGTTGGGGGGATGGGAGGGAGGAATAGTATCGGTATCTTGTGGTGTTGTAAAACATTAAAACATAATTCAGTGCTTCCTGAGATCATTATGTTGAAATGTAAACAAGGAAGTCCTATTCTCATAAGGAAAAAATGCTATTAAGCTGTTTGATTCAAGTGCAAGCAGAGAACTTTTTCTTCCTGATCCACTCTGACAAAAATGAGTTGTTTTTTTGTGTTTTTTTATTTGACTGGGGAATCCTTTATTCACTTGGGTACAGGAAGAATCAAAATTGTGTCTGAGAATGATATATATTTTTTGTTTGCCTAGGAAAGAGGCTGGCTGTGTGCTCTGAATTCTATAGGTGGCTGTCATTAATAGGTGGAACCTTGCAGTTATTTAAATTCTTAGCTGCAAGGGAACCTTGGCAAACATGAAAATAAACCTTTTATCAATCAAAGGTAACATTGTGAAAAGGTTAGAAGTTCTTTATACTAAATTGCCCACTCTTTTCTCCTTAGATTGAGTTGCACAAAATAAGCAGTGTTCTAGCCAGTTATTTTTCAGGAGTCAGCTTAAAACCAACCAAAAAAAATCAACTTTTCTCAGCAGTAAGATAAAACATAGATGATGAAGAAAATATTTGGGATTAATTTCCAGTCTACTTCAAGACACATCTACTCTAGATTTACACTTTCATGCATTAAGTACATACCCCAAAGTGGGACCACAGCAAGCTTTTTTGGAGAATAGAAGTCAATTAATTAAGAATAAAACTTGCTGTTTTGTCAAATTATGGAAACAAGGCTTTTTTGATATCTGAATATTTTCTTCAGATGGTCTTGGTGGTATTGGCATGGGATTAGGACCTGGAGGTCAACCTATTGATGCAAATCATTTAAACAAAGGCATGGGAATGGGCAACATGGGACCTGGAGGTAAGAAGATTACTCCTACGCTTTGTTTCATGAGAGCTTTAAGCTGTATAGAAGGGTAGATAGCTTTGTTTGCCTACACAAAAAGTTGAAGTGTATTAGGAGTGTTAAAGCCAAATGAGTTCTTCCTGAGCTAAGTCATGAGCTTGATAACAGAAACTTGAACCTAACCAACTGCTCCATTTTTGTTTTTTACCATGGTAAGGGCACAGCTCTCATTTTCTGACTCTTGAGCATGAGCAGCAGACACTGCAAATATACATAAAACTTCTAAAACCATCTGTCACTCTTAACACTTGTTAGTGGGCTTGCAAATCTATGTTTAGGATATATTTAAATAGCAAAAAGTTTTAAAGAGCCACCTAAAAAGTAGCACACACTCAGCTTTCAGTTTGTAAATGCCTATGGTTTTTTCCACTTCCTGCTTTTATTTCTTGAGAAGGAATGTTGCAATCTACTTGAGCTAGCACATGTAAGCTTTCCAGTTCAGAGTGGATGTGCTTGTATGATTTCTTTCTACAGCCAATCTAATGGCTGATGGTTTGTAGAATTACATCTGCTACATAAAGCTTTCTCTTTTATTTTGAGGAATGGGAATGGAAGGCATGGGCTTTGGAATGAATAAAATGGGAGGTAAGCTGTGTTTTTTGAAATGTATATAGCCTGGGTTGTTTTTTTTTTTTTTTTTTTGAAAGTCATGTAAACTTAGCTGTATGTGCCTAGCAGGCATTTGTTTTCCTTGGAATTGTCACCAATTTAGTGATGACTTATGTTTTTGAGTATTAGTGAAACTGCTGTAGATGTACGGGGAAGGGTTGAAACCTCAGAAAATGTGAGCAGTGGTTTGGTCATGAGACTTCTAAAGCTTGGCCTTGATTTAGGAGATAAGCTGTGACCAAATTCTGACCACAGTTAATGAATCTGTGATAGAGTTGTCTTGGTGCCTATGGAAAAGATCTGAGGAAAACTTATTTTGGTGAAATGTAGCATTAAGTTGAAATGCTAAAGCATCCCTGGAAATTCCTTTGTTTTAGGAATGGAAGGTCCGTTTGGCATGGAAAACATCGGGCGCTTTCCAGCTGGAATGAACATGGGCAGAATGAGTGGTAGGCATTAGTTTTTTTTGTTTTGTTATAATATTAAGCTTCCGAGTTCAACAGCAGTCCTTGTTCTCTGAAACTGTAGCACTGGAGACTGGTCATATTCCTCTTTCCAGCTTTTATTGGAAAAAACTTAAAGGCTTACATCTCACACAGTGTCTGCAAGGCCCTTATGGCCTCTAAGCTACAAAAAAAACAAGTTCAAAGGAGTTGCCTTCAAGGACTGCTTTGGAAAGATAAACTGTGCTCTGTCTGTATTCACCAGAAAGACAGAAAACTACTCCAAAGCAAAGTGTCTTGTCTGTGTTGAGATGAGTCCTGGATTTTTGTTCTTGTTATTCTGGGGGTTGTTTTGGTCTCAAAAAGACATAATAAAATGATCAGGAGGACATAATAAAAGTTTGCCTTGCTCTTAATCTTTAAAAACTATGCCTCTAGTAAAATGTTGATACCCTGAAGAACATATCAGACTTAATCTTTACAGAAATGGATCGTGCCATGGGTGGAGGATTTGAGAGAGAATTTGGAAGAAATGAGATGGGAATGTCTCGTAGTTTTGGAGACACCTTGGAAAGAGGAATAGGTCAGTACATAAAGCTAAGTACTTACACTGCCTACTGGAAATACCTGAACTGTACATAAAAAAAAAAGTGCATGTTTGTAACAAAACAGGCCATATTTTACACATAGCTTCTCTAACACTTTGATCAAATTTTGATCAAACTAATTTCAGTTAAATTATTATTCTTGCTGCACAATCCCCAGGGCATTGTACAGGACAGCTAGCAGCTAAAATTGTATTTAAAATACTACTTTCGCTACCTGAACAACTGGGTTTTCATATGCATTCAAACTTCTCTCCTTGTTTACACATCAGTTTTTCTTCTTTGAAACTTTTATTGTGCATATGGAACTCAAACTTGTTAGGAAGGGGTAAACTCTTGCACACGGACTAATGAGGTGACCAGTCCCTTAAAATGTGTTGTAGTCGTGGTGATCTATGTAATCAACAACAGTACTCTTTCCCATCTGAAATAACTGCTTCATATTCTGCAGCAGCACACACGTTAGGTAGTCACTTTTTTTTCTGAATAATGATGGTCTAAAGGATTTCAGTACTGTATGCAATGCAAGCACGTGTTTGGTTTCAGTATGTGTTTTGACTATTTATAAATTGTGTGTTTTGTTCCAGGTGGTGGAAATGCCAGCATTCCTGGGATTGAGAGGATGGCACCTGGCATTGATCGTATGGGCTCGGGAATGGAAAGAATTCCCTCTGGGATGGGGCATGGGATGGAGAGAGTAGGGTCAGAAATAGACAGGATGGGTCTTGTTCTGGATCGCATGAGTTCCAATGTGGAACGGATCGGTTCTGGAATTGACCGAATGGCCCCTCTGGGCATAGATCACATGGCTCCTAACATTGAGAGGATGGGACCAGCTATTGAGAGAATGGGTTCTGGCATAGAAAGAATGGGCTCTGGAATAGGCTTTGGCATTGAGAGGATGGGCGCTGCCATTGAGCGTGTTGGTACCACTATAGAAAGAATGGGATCAGGTGTAGAACGAATGGGTTCTGGCATGGATAGGATGGGTATAGGTATGGAGCGCATGGTCCCTGCTGGAATGGGAGCTGGGATGGGTCAGGTGATAGAGAGGATGCCAGGTGGCCTGGATCGCATAGGTGCCAATCCTATGGAAAGAATAGGAATAGATCGTATGGGTGCTGCTAGCATGGAGAGAATGAGCTTGGAGCGCATTGGAGCCACTAATATGGAAAGGATGGGTCCTGCTATGGGACAGGGCATGGGAGCAGGCATAGATCGCATGGGACTTGCAATGGGAAGCAATTTTGAAAGACCAATGGATATGGAACGTGGAAACTTTGCAGGCAATTTTGCAGGCTCCCTTGGAGGAACTGGAGGACCTGCACCTGGGGTGGCCCGAAAAGCCTGTCAGATATTTGTGAGAAATGTGAGTAGCCTTCATCCTAGTGCTTTATGTTGATTTCTTTTGTGTTCTTTTACTTTAGTTACAATTTTTAATATTGCATGCTGCCAAATGTGGGGTTGGGCAGGCCTTTGTGAGTTGAAGCCATTTTCTTAACAGGAGAAAAGCTTTCTGCGTATGAAAAAGACGGTGCTGAACTATGGCTTCCCAGGATGGAGAACATGTTTTGAAGAGACGGAAGTACTGACAAGTCGTTTAACAGTTCCTCAGTAATTGTTCTTCTTTTTCACAGCTGCCTTTTGATTTTACATGGAAAATGCTGAAAGATAAATTTAATGAATGTGGTAAGTTGTTATATCACTGGAAATCTTTCCTGAGAACTGGATATCTCTTGTAGAGCTAGGAATTACTTCTATGTCCCTGACACTAGTACCTTACTAAAACTTCACTCAGACTTGGGAAAACATCAGATATTCATGTTGACAAGTGGCTTGGGGATGTTTGCCATCCTGCAATGCCGACAAGAGTCCTACAGGATTGAGAAGATAAGAATGTTTTGACTGTCTAGTTGATAACCCAGTCAACACGTGCCCCTTCTCAGCTGTCTAGGGCTGGATTTATTATGTGGATAGCCTCTCTGTAGTTACAGGTAGAGACAGGAACAGAGAGAGGGAAGTCCAGGATGAATGATGAGATTCATTTCCTATAGCAAAAAGCTGAGAACTACTGAAAAGCACTGGCAAGATGCTTTATTTTGAAGTGAACACGTTTCTTTGGGGAAACTGTCCTTAAAAGAACCTTAAGTTAGTATTAGCAATAATAAAAGAAAAACGAAGAAATTAGGGAGCTAAAAGAATTCCTGAATCAGCTGCATATTGTTAGATGTATTTAGGTCCAGCTCATGAGACATCTGATCTTTAGAAAAGCTAGTCCCACATGGATTTCTTGCTTGCTACAGCGACCAATTTCCTGTATTACACTGTGGAATAAGTTAACTTCCTAGAGGACCAGTTAGCATAATTCATTAGGGCTTTCTGCTGCTTTGAGAACCATCATGCTCTTTAAGAGTCTTTGTGAGCGTACCTTTCTTTTCAGAGGCTTAGATAAGCTACTAATGGTTGAGGTAGGCTGTGCAGCTTCTAGGGGACTTCTCATGGCAATGGTCACTGGTAAAATGGTCCTAGAGCTTTAAGTTTCAAACCAATGGTAGTTTCGAAAGGTACGCTTTCTGTGGCTTAAGGTAGAGAACTCTAAATCAATACAGTCGTGTGGTACCTCCTAGATTAAACAAGAACCTTTCTTTTTCTTTTGAAGGTCATGTGCTGTATGCTGATATCAAGATGGAAAATGGGAAGTCTAAGGGCTGTGGTGTTGTTAGATTTGAGTCCCCAGAAGTAGCTGAGAGAGCCTGCCGTATGATGAATGGGATACAGCTTCGTGGGAGGGAGATTGATGTGCGAATTGATAGAAATGCTTAAGTAGATGCTTTTTTAACATTGATACCAGATTTTTGAATTTGTATTTTTTCTTGTTAACCATTTTAATTTGACTGGATGTAAAGGTGTTAAAACAGTTCAATTGCTTTCTGGAGTAATTTTAATTACTTTTTTAACAAATGGATTTCCATTTTACTGTTTTTGCATTGGAACTGCAATGTGCACAATCTTTTTTTTTGTAGTTGTGGCATCTTGTTGACATTACAGATGTAAACAGTATGACTTTGATAATAAATGCAAGTTAAAGATTTCAGTCATTGCATCTATTACTGGCAGCACATCCCTATGCTTGCAAAAATATCTGTAAACCAAGTAAACTACAATTTTTATTCTCTTGTGAAGTGTCAAGAAAGTGTATCTTTGGGTTGTCAGTTCATGACAGTGTGAATTAGACTTTAAAACAATGCACCTGAACATTCATGCTAGTACTCAAAGGTCTTTAGTGTATCAGTTTCCTGTGTTCAGACCTGGTACTGGGGCTGGTAGCTTGATCTTTCTCCAGTGGCAATGCTGATTCAAAAAATAAAAGATCCTGTACCTTCAGTTGTCAGTGCCATGCTGAAGGCCTGAACTAAAAAGGGATAAAACAAACAAAAAAAAAAAACACATTTTCCAGTGTGGGCCAGGTGTGTCAGTCCCAGGTGGGGGCAAGGACCAGTATGTGAGTGGGAAGCATCTGGTGTGGGTAAAAAGGCAGGAGGTGGGATATTTCACCTTTTTATACAAGTAATAACTTTAATCACTTTCACTTTGCTTAATTATTTGGGTCAGAATTCTTGTTGCAGGAGAGATGAAACTTTATGCTAAAGGATTAGAAAAAAACGAGTAAAAAGCCATTTGAAGCTTTACTTTAACATTAATTGCATGATTACACTTATTAGACTTTTCTTCAGGTGAAAGGTTCCTTCTGTGTTTCATGGTATTCCTGAATTGTGCTGCCACAATCAGAGTAGCCAGAATTCCTCGACATGGAAAACCAGCTTGAACTAGATACTTCTGAGCTACTGTGAAGCATCCCCATCCCCATACACACCTTCAACACTTCCTCCCCTTCAACCTCCAGCGTATACCTTCCAAGATAACATACTTCTCAAAAATATTTTCTGTATGCTTCAAGCTAATGAATTTTAGTTTCTTCTGCTTTTTCAGTCACAAAAGGCTAGCATAAAATAAACACCTTTTCCAACACCTCATTCAGTTCCGTTACACTCACAGATGTTACAGGATGTACAGCTTATTTTACACAAAGTTTTTATATTACAGTTCAGTAATGGATAGTTCTCTTGCACAGCTCTGCTGTTGAAAGGTAATTGATTCAGGGAAGCGTAGAAGTCTCCAATCAGCTCTGCTATTGCAGAAAAGGTAGTGAACAACCCTGAGTTGGTACGTTTGTTAAAAAATTAGCTCTCTCTACTGAGAGCTGAAGAAAAAACCTTTGGGAATGTCCCATTTGGGGACATTTTAGGGGATACTTCAGGAGCTGCTCGGCGTGCTGCCTAGGCTGGAGAGAGATGCTGGGAAGAACAGAAGAGTGGATACTGCACTTGATCTTTTGTTTTGGATTTAAAAATGCCCTTTTAATAATAAAAAAATGCTAGTTACAGTGTTGTTTGACTCATTTTGGGGATAGGCAGGGCTGTGCAGCCTGGGCTGTGAACACACCCGGGGGCACCCAGAGGCGATTCGTCCCAGGCTGGGCTTCAGGCTCTGGCCGTAACCGACCACAAGGGCAAACCCTGACCGAATTTCCTCGTTTATTTAACTCTCTTCAGGGAGTCTCACGGCAGAGACCTCACGGGCCCCGTCCCCCCGCCGCCCGTGACGGGGCCGAGCCTCAGCGGCGCGCGGCGGCGGCGTCAGCGCTCGGCGCCGCCCGAAGGTCACACACCGGCCTCAAGATGGCGGCGGCGGCGGCGGGCGGCTGCCGGGTGAGCGCGGGAAGGGAGGCGGGCGGCGGGCGCTGCCCTCAGCCGGGGCCGGGGCTGTGGGGAGGCGGCGGGAGCCCCGGCCGGGCCGCTCCGCTCCTCTCCTTTCCTCCCCTTCCCTCTTCTTTCCTCCCCCACCGTCCCCTGAGGCGCGGCCCAGCCCGGCGGGGAGCGGGACTGGGGCGCCGCGGTCGCTTTTACCTCAGGGGTGGGAGCTCCGGAGAGGGGGGCAGCCTCCGGCCTCATCCCCCTTTCCTCCTCATCCTCCCCTCCTCCTCATCCCCTGCTTGCCTGTGCCGCTGAGGGGATTCCTTCCCTCATGCTCGGGGCCTTCTGCGTTCTCTTTCCCCTCCACCGGCCTCGCCCACGCTGCTGACTCGATAGCTTCATCACAGTGACCCACGCTGCAAGTTGGAGCTGCTATAAAGCTAGGGAAAGCAGAAAAATTAGCCTAGGTCTGTCCTGGAGCTTCCAGGGAGTCTTCACAGAGCTGTCTGTAGCCTTGGGCTGTTCTGTTGATAGGGCTGAAAATAAACCAGGAGGCTTTTCTCCTCTGGTGAGCAGGTGAATGGATGTATTAATTCAACACAAACGTTCTGGTTCTCTAAACCTATTTTTGAGGTGCTTTGAAGCTTGTTGATCTTCTCGTGTGCACAAAGCTAAACGTGGCATTAAGCATTTCTTCCAAAGTGGTCAGTAACGTGGAAGAAAGGTGCATTTTGGTTAGGAGCTGCGATCTGTTAAAATCCAGCAGGCCTCCTCCCAAGTTTTAATGCTCTTAATTCTTGTAGACGTTTCAATTATGCATATAATAATCTGGTTTATTCTTGCTTATTACAAAGCTTGTCCTCAGTGATGGCTTTGGCAGCCAAGTTTGAAGGCTGTGGAGAGCATTTCATTTGATTCAAACTTGATCAAATTCAAACTTTTAAGTTCAGCAGTCCAGCAAGTGGAGCTTAGGTAGAGCCACGGAGCTGAACTTAAAATAAATAAGAAAAAATTAAAAAAAAAAAAAAAGAAAAAGAAAAAGCAGGAGCTGAACTTAGAATATGTGACTTATAAAGAACGTAGAACCCAGTGAGTTATAATGTTTATCATTGGGCCATGAGAGTATGGGCAACAATGTCAGATGTAATGTCTGGATTTGGCTTATGGTGCTTGGCAGCAGTGTTGTTAATGAATCACAGAATGGCCGAGGTTGGAAGGGACCTCTGAAGACCACCCTGTCCACAACCCCCTTGCTGAGCAGGATCACCCAGAGCACGTTGTGCAGGATCATATCCAGGGGGGTTTTGGATATCTCCAGAGAAGTAGACCCCACAGCCTCTCCAGGCAGCCTGTCCCAGTGCTCTGTCACCCCCCCAGTAAAGAAGTGCCCCCTCATATTCCTCCTGTGCTTCAGTTTGTGCCCGTTGCCTCTTGTCCTGTTGCTGAAAAGTCTGGCTCCATCCTCTCTACACCCACTCTCCCTTCAGATATTAATGTATATAAATGAGGTTTCCCCTCAGTCTTCTCTTTTCCAGGCTAAACAGGCCCAGGTGTCTCAGCCTGAAGCCACAGGATAGGGCAGCATGACAAAACTTTTCAATATCTACAAGCCTGATAAAACACATAGGCACATTGTTAGTTTGGACGCAGAATTAAATGTTCTCAGCTTACTTTTCCTAAATCTTTCGATATTAAAGCCCATTTGTTCTGTCCACGCTTTTTTTTTTTTTATTATTTAGGGTGAGCAGTTTGAGAGAGACTCGCAGGGAAGCAGTTTGGCTGTGTGATTTGGGTAACACAAGTCCTTAGGTTACTCAGCACTCAGAATCTGTTCCCAGGAGAGCAGTAAATATTATCCATTTGCAGTATTCTTTCCTGACTATCTTGGCTCTTCGAGACTGCTGCCATCTTGTATCGTGTGCTAACTTGATCGTGTGTTTTGATTGCAGAAATGTCTCATCAATGGCATATGGCTTATATCTAGAAGATATCCAGTTCCTGCAGTCCACAGTGGTACCACGTATAGAATGAGCACGCCTCTTTTAGAGATCAATCAGGTTGGTTAATAGCTGATTTTTTTTTTAATTTCAGGATGAATGTGGTTTCCAATTAGAGTACTGAATCTGCTAGATGCAGATATGTTTCTGAGAAGCAGCAGTTCTAGGATGAAAGTTTCAGCAGTTCAAGATATACTTGACAAATTCAAGGATTTTTGTAGTAGCAGAGTCCAAGTGGCAGAGTTCAGGAGTAGTGCTCTTGTAACTTCATCTACTGGGTTGTTTCAAGCCTGGTTAATGTCAAACTGCCCCCAGAGAAGCTTTTTTTTTTTTTTTTTTTTAATAACTATATAGACTTATTTCACAGGGCATCAGAAATGTGTCTGATGCTTGGCTGTTTTAAGGGGAAGGGGCTTATTTTTCAAGGCAGTGGTACAATTTTCCACATTTAATACATTAGAAGTGATCCAGTGCTTGGCTTAAGTAAATCTACCTGCTGGCTTTGATACTTGTTTAATTTCTCTTTGGATTCTGCAACATGTAACAATTTTCTTTAGTCTAGATGTTATTCTTCAGGAGGAAGAAAGGGTTTTATATCAGGTTTTGTGGAAAACATCAAACAAGAATTAGCAAAAAACAAAGAGATGAAAGAAAGTATTAAAAAGTTCCGAGATGAAGCTAAAAAGCTAGAAGAATCTGATGCACTTCGAGAAGCAAGAAGGAAATATGTAAGTCTTCCCGTGAATTCTGTTGATGTTTTCAGTGCATAGTCACTAAGCTATTAGAAAGACTCAAATTTAACATTCAGAAATGAACTTTTTAGTTGTTTGCATTCCAATTTTTATGAGAAGTTCTGCTTGGCTGTAAATACTGACAGGTAAATGGATGTCTTAGTGGAAATCTTCCCAGCTACCATTCACTGGAATTTCTCACATAATGAGAAGATAAAATAAGGGAGCATTAAATTTGATGTTGACAGTTTTAGTACTTCTTCTATAATCTTTAAAGAATTATAAACAGCAGTAATTAAATGCTGGAGCTGGTTAATTCAAAAAATTGGATTTTACCCAGCCAAGAATGTGTTATATTCTGATTTTTTTTCAGTAAGAATGTGTTCCTCATTTGGAAAAAAAAAAGTTATTATGGAGAAAGCTAAATGTAGTAATCCTGTATAGGCCCAAGCAATTGTAGCTCTTTTTGCCGTGTTACAGTGTTCTATCTGCTAATGTTTTTTTTTTTTTGTTTGTTTGTTTTGTTTTCCCCCACAGAAAACCATTGAATCTGAAACAGTGAAGACCTCAGAAGTGATTAAAAAGAAGCTTGAAGAAATCACTGGTACAGTTAAAGAGGTAAAACAGCCATGGAGTAACCTTTCCCTGTGGCAGTTAGGTTCTGAGGTTCTGTGTTTTGTTTGTATTTGATCACTATTGCAGATCGTAAAGGATAGAGCTGTTAACAAAGTTTCAGCATCCTGGCTCTTGTGAACACAGCCTAAATAATATATTTGAACATGTTGGACTGAGAAATGCATTTGCTAATTCTGCAGGAAGATTTGAATAGCAGAGAGCTATCTGAACCTCTGCTACGCCTTATCTTAAGAAGCAGTACCTAATTGTTTCAAAGAACAGGACTGGGGTATTTTTGCTCTGGCATTGTTGACCTCCTCTTTGAGGTCAAGAAGAATATTTTCTAAATGTATGGGTAGCAGCTATTACAAATGGGTATGGTCCTGTGAGTAGCCAAATTATTGTTCTGTACAGACATGTTGTCTGAGTTTCAGTGGCGAGCCAGTATTCCAGTCTCTCCTGGGACATAGAACTGTGTGTTCACCTTAGGTTTGGTTGGTTTTATTGCGTGTGCATCAGGTCTTTAGCATTCATAAAGAAGGCTGACTCAAAATGTGTTTTCACCTGTGTTTTTGTGATCTTTTCTTCCCCATTCTGTTCCAGAGTTTGGATGAAGTAAGTAAGAGTGATATTGGCCGGAAGATAAAAGAAGGTGTGGAAGAAGCAGCAAAAACAGCAAAGCAGTCTGCAGAGTCGGTGACAAAAGGAGGGGAGAAATTAGGCAAGACAGCAGCTTTCAAAGCTATTTCTCAGGTACTTCAGCTATTTCTCAGGTATTTCTCAATGTCCCATGCTTCTCTGGAACCCAGTGCTGCGGACACTGATTGTTGACATGGAAGCTATGTGCAAGCTTGTGCTGAGTATAAAATTAGATGCAAAATTTTTATTGTAAGACCTTTTCTATTAAGAGGTACTGCTTGTGAGACATTGTAATAAGCCAATAAATTGAAGAAATGTATTTTATAGGTGTAGCATTCACTCAGTAACCCTAGAAAAGTTTAAGTCTTGAGTAGCTGAGCTTCCATAAAAAGAAGTGTTATAGGGAAAACTGGTTTCTGTGTTTGTGGAGTAGAGTAGTAACTGTCCCTCTTCTGTAGACAAGTTCTAGTGGTATTCTTGGGAGCTACTGACTGAAAAACTGGCATGCCTGAAGCTTTCCTTTCTGAGAAAATAAATAACCACTCATATGCTTTGATGCTACCTTGTAAACTGTCAATTAGCTTAAAAGGTAATATACCACTTGACTGGTTACTCATCGCTCCTCAGAAGTACTAGATTTACCCCTTATAAGAGGAGATACCAAGCCAGATGGAATATTAGCCTTAGCAGTCTCTGTGTTTCTCATAAGATGGCCTCTACTAGCCAATCGACTAGCCAGATGTCAGTTCTAGCCACTCTGCACTGTTTTTTTTTTTCTTTTTCTTCTGAGTAAGAGAGCCAAGAATAACCTATCTTCTTCCTTCAACAGAAACATTTTGGGGGGAAAGGAGGGAAGAAAAAGTAAATCAACCTAATAGGGGTATTTTCTTTTCAGGGAGTAGAAACCGTTAAGAAGGAAATAGATGAAAGTGTTTTAGGGCAGACTGGTCCTTACAAGCGTCCAGAGCGACTACGAAAAAGAACAGAATTCTCAGGCGAGAGGATTAAAGAGGAACGAGTATTTGAAGCTAATGAGTATGTATTGTTTATAATTTAGGGTAAATATTTCTGTGTACAATGTGATAAAAGCTTTAAAATTTAACTGCAGATCAAAAATGGTTAAACGGCTGAAATGAGGCTGTAGGGAGAGGTGTGACCTAGCAAAGCAGGTAGGTCTGAGAGCAAATTGCCACCACAAATTGATGATACTGTATCTTCTGATCGTGAGGTTGGGCATTTAATAATACCAAGTGGGTACATAATGTTCTATCATGAAACTATGACTTGCACGTGTTACGTTTTCTCAGTTCTAACACCTTGCTATTGAATTACATTTGGCAGGACTAAGTCTGAGCTCTGCTTTCTGTACTGCCTTGCTCCACTAAATCATGTATCTTTTATGCTGTGCATCAGCGTCACTGCTACTCTACGCTGTGGTGATATTCATTGCAGTGATTCATTGGGCTGTCGTTCTTTTTATTTTCACTCTCATGTAAGCTACTTGTTCACAAGTACCCATCTTCTGAACTTTCTAGAGAGGCCATGGGTATGGTGCTGCATAAGGACTCAAAATGGTATCAGCAGTGGAAAGATTTCAAGGACAACAATGTGGTGTTCAATAGTAAGTGTTCCAAAGACAAAGTAGTAGCACATTACTTTCTCTGATCTGATTCTTGCCATGTGGGACCTGATGCCATCTATGCAACTAGTCTAAACATAACGCAAATCATGACATTTGTTGTTGCTGTTGCTGTGAGGTGGTGTGATTAGGAGATCTGCAATGTTGTCAACTGTGTGTCTTTTCCAAGCGGCTCCTTTTGTGTGCGCATCTCTTCCCCAGTCAGACATTGTCTTTGGTCAGTCCCAGTTCCCTGTAGGTGCCTTCACCATTGGTCAAAGAATTCTAGATAGATCCACTTTTACACTGCTAAGAGGTCAGGGCAGACATAAGTGCATGTCACCGGGGATAGGGCTGGCCTCTTGTCCTTGAGCTTATGGTGAGGAAAAATCATGTTTTTAGTGAGCTGGTTTCTACTGTCACCTGCTTAGAACCCTGGAGTGTGGGGGACTTTGTCATTAGGTGGTTGTTGTTTGTTTTTTGCAAAATGTAAAAGTACTGGATATCTCTACTGCAGTGGGCAATAACTTCTGATAGTCATCTAGATGCTTGATGTTTCTGAAAAGTGTAAAGAAACAATAGGAAAAGGGGCAATGGGTGCAAGCTGGAATATAGGATATATAAGGATACTTATAGGGTACTTACAGGATATATAAGGATACTTAAATATGAGACGAAACTTTCACGGTGAGGGTGACGGAGCACTGGAACAGGCTGCCCAGGAGGTTGTGGAGTCTCCTTCTCTGGAGACATTTAAAACCCACCTGGATGTGTTCCTGTGTGACCTGATCTAGGTGTTCCTGCTCCGGCAGGGGGATCAGACCAGATGATCTTTCAAGGTCCCTTCCAATCCCTAACATTCTGTGATTCTGTGAAGATGGGGAGAAAACTAGATTTTGAAATTGAAGGCTGTTCATCAACAAAGATTTAGAAGAGTGCTGGCAGGTTTCATCTACAACCCGTTGCCTGATTTTTCTAGTTCAGGAACTCAGTGGAAGAACGCTGCTGCTCATGTGTTCTCTTCTTTCAGGGTTCTTTGCAATGAAAATGAAGTATGATGAAAGTGATAATGCATTCATTCGAGCTTCCAGAGCTGTCACAGACAAAGTCACTGATTTGATAGGTAATGTTTAATTGTTGCTTCGATTAAATGCAATTCTCTAGCCTTCTAGCTGTGTTGCTAGTAACTGTTTGTGTGGTACTAGCTTTTTGGGAAAGATTTTGAAGCTTTATTGTATTTTTCATGGATCATTATCCAGTGTCAGACAGTGTAGCAACCTGCTATTGGCAATATGATGACAAGTGGATAAATCTGGTGGGATAAATCTCAAGTGTAACCTACAGTCTATAGCTGTTTCAAGATGAGTCTTCTTTCTGTCTGTTAGATAACCCAAGGTCCATCTTGTTTTCTGGTAACAGTCTCTCTGAATTGTTTTATCAGGTGGATTGTTCTCGAAGACTGAAATGTCTGAGGTTTTGACAGAGATACTCAAAGTGGATCCCTCCTTTGACAAAGATCGTTTTTTAAAGCAATGCGAGCGTGATATAATCCCCAATGTCTTGGAGGTAAGGTAGGGACAGAGTGTGATGCATTTGTTTTATTTTCTCCTTTACTGTAATATAGAAGACTTTTCTTTCAGTTTCCTAGCGCTAAAATTAAAAGCAGGGGCTGTATTTGCTTCTCAAGCACTCAGCTTTGCACACCATTATACATACAGTAACCTTAGAAACAGGAACTTGCATTTTGCATTATAGTTTAGTTGAAAACCATATTTCATAATTTAATAGCCTCACCAAAATTCTTTGGGCCTGGAAAAACAACTGGCCATCTTCTCCCATGAGTGGTAGTATGAACACGAGAGGGATCAAACTGAACTAAGTGAATGAGCAGTTCTGAGCATCAGATGGTGGTGAAGGGAAAGAATTTGGTGCATGTGCATTGCTGCTTTCTAAACGATCTGTAACTGAACTTAAATTTGTGTCTTAATTATCTAAAGATTTATGTACCTCTGACTAGGTCTGTTTTTTTTTTTTTTCTTCTTTTTAAATAGAAGTTCTTATTGCTGTTCCTCTTTGATAATTCTTGCTCTTTTCCTGCGTCAGGTTTTCATCAGATGTGGGGTTTAAAATAGTTTGCTGCTAAAAGTGCTGTTACTTCAACTCTTAGACACGGCGTGTATTTTAAAATGTTCAAATCTTATTGATTTTTCTATTTTAGGCTATGATGTCTGGAGAGCTTGAGATCCTCAAAGATTGGTGCTACGAAGCAGTAAGTATAGCTACTAAAAATGTCTGAAAAGGTTTAGGATTCTCATTTATAAGTAGGTGGGCCGTGCTTTCTTTGCAAGCCATTTAGCCACTGCATCTGTGATGTTGCTTACCTGTTCTGCCTGGCTGCTCCCCCATCTAAAATGTTCATACTATAAAAAACTAATGCAATGGATTTCTGCAGTAGTACAGATATGAGAGAGAGAGGGAATTGAGAGAGAAGCTCAAACTAGTCCAACTAGCTCCAGTTCTACACAGCCATTCTTGATTTGGATGGGCTTTAGTAGAGCTTTTGAGGATTGGTGCACTGTGTGTTCTAAATTTCAGGGGAAACTGAAGAAGGTTCTAGTATAGAAGTCTCCAAGAATCAATGAGTCTTTCAAGAACTCGTGGCATGAGGTTTCATGGGGCTTCATCAAATTAGCGCCTATGCAGCCCCAATTCACAACATTTCCAGTTATGTTTAACATAATCCCAGAATTGCTGTGGTGCCTGATTTTCCTGGAACCATCTGAGTGTCTTGACACTGGACTGGTTTGTAGGAGGCTTTATTAAGAGAGATTCAAAACGAAGTGATCACACAGATCCCTCTTAACTTGATACTTACTTCAGCTTTAATGAACCACTGGAGCCTGAAGCTATGGGGAATGAGTGGAAAGACAGTGTATGGTCAGCTGTGTTCCAGCATAGCCATGCACAGAAACTGGGCTGGCTGGGCTTGTTGGCTGTGTCTGCCCCATATTCCCCAGTATCTCAATCACAGAATGGTTTGGGTTGCCCAGGACCATGTGCAGACATCTTTTGAAGATCTCTGTGGCTGGAGACTTCACATCCTTTCTGGAAAACCCATTCCAGTGCTCTGTAACCTGCACAGTAAAGAAATGCCCCTGATGTTTAGCCAGAACCTCTTGGGTTCCAGTTTGTGCTCATTGCCTCATCATGGGACTGGCCAGAATCCCTGATATGGTGTGGAAAGGTGCAGAGATGTTTGAGCTGACCCAGAAAGGTGACAATTTTCTGCTTGCAGGGTCAAGTTGTCCCTGGAACTATAACAAACAAAACTTCACTGCAATATCCCAGCAATCTTGGCAGGCTCAAGTTTTTCTAAAATTGCAGCATAGAAAATCAGCAGCCTGGATAATCTGGCTGCAGAAAACTGAATTTATTGCTTAGATGTTGATTTTATTTTTGTACTGGTATAATTTTTCAGTATTGGATAAACTTCTGGAAGGATTGAATATGAATTTGTTGTGATTCAGTGCTTGTACTGTTCATTTAACTTCATGGAAGCAGATCTTTACCTGACAGTGGCAATTAAACATGACAGGACATGTGTTCTCTTCACTCTGCTCCAGAATAATTCTGTTGTTAGCAATGCAGGCCCATACTTGATTTGTTTCTAAATAATGTAACTGCTTAAAATGAATGTTCTCCTTACTAATGACCACCACCAGAGGGCTGGAAATTCACACGCTGGAAGGGACAGTCTTTAGTATTTACAGTTTTTGAGGTTAGCTGTTTTTATTCTGTCTTTGTAACAATACTGCATGATGTAAAAAAGTAGGATATTTAAAGCAGTCTGAAAGTAAAGACAGTTCTTTAGTGTTTCAAGCCACCTTTGAAATGATACCGTAGAATTCCTTTCAAATCTCTGGAGGGAAGTAGCAGATTATTTTCGTTTATAAAATACAGACCAAGCCCTTCTAAGCTAATTGTAGTTACAAATTAAGCTCATAGAATCATCCATAAAATAAGGCAAGGTAGGAAATGAGTCCTATTAATGAGAATCCAGAAGATAAAGGCTCTTGAGCAAAATCATACTGAGAGTGTTAAGTTTGTGCTACTGGTTGCTAAAATGCTGGAATACAGATCAGTAAGGCAAGTATACCGAGTCAGAGTTTACCTAAAACAGTGGCCTGACAGTTTAGTTTAGACCAGATGACCTCCAGGTGTCCCTTCCAACCTAAACCATTTTTCAGTTGTGTTTCATAGAGCTGTTTCTGTCTGCTGTCCCTAGCATCCCTGTTCTGTAACTCCAGCTTTGCTCTAGTGTATCAGTGTACTTCTGTAGGATTTTTGCCTTTAAATGCTTGTGACAAAGGTTAGTGGTGGGGAGGCATGGTAGGGACTGCCTCCTGTTTGTTTGATAGCAGCCAAAAATACTGTGATACTTGCTGGAAGCAAGTGGCAATTTGAATCCCCAACAGCACTTCTCGATGCATAAATAATGAAGCATATGTACCTAAAAGGTGGCAGGAGGTGCTGGTTTGCCTCCAGGTTCTGGCTGAGCATTAGGAAAGCAGCTTCATTTCCAAATTGTTTTCTCCCTGTCTGCTGTCAGATCAGAACTTGCAAGTTCCTTGGCTGTCAGTTTGACTCAGTGTGCATACTCTGCTGTGAATGATGGGTCTCCTGCTCTGTCCAAGGGAGATGGGATTCTTAGGCAGAACTTGGTTATGTGAAGCGCAGAACATTTGATGTAGCTGTTTGACATCTTGCAAGACACTTGCATTCAGCGTATTTACAAAAACCTAACTTTTTCTGATGGTTCTTGCTAAGCAGAAAATCTCTTTTTCTTTGACAGAACAAATTTAAACATGTAACACAAGTTTGTTCCTTCATTTAGACTTACAGTCAGCTTGCTCATCCAATCCAGCAAGCCAAGGCCATGGGTCTGCAGTTCCACTCCAGGATTCTGGACATTGACAACATTGATGTGAGTATCCTTTTCTGTATTTCACCTTGGGGAATGAATTAGAAACTCACAACTTCATGTTTTTCCTTCTTTGATCTGTTTTTTGCCTCTTGCTACCTTGGTATTTACCATTTCTGCTAACAGAGATCGTTGTTGCTGGAAGGGAGACATGGGATAGATAAGGAGTGATTTGCTGCTGTGTGATCAAGCCTAAGTTACAGCATTGTGGTTTGTCTCCTCTGTGCCAGGGCCCCTTGGTCTTAATCACCATGGACTGAGAGAGGCTAATAATAAAGACAAGAGGCACTAACCCAGTGCTTTCTGTGAAGGGCTTTGTTGATGCTTACTCTGGATGATAACGTGCAATGCCTTTGTGACCCGAGGTTGTGCAGTGCAGGAACAGTTATCAGAGAGAGTTAACTGCTGTTCTGTATGGCTCTTGATAACTAGCGAGGTAAAAATACCTAATTTAAACCACCCTCTTTTAGTTTAAAGCCGTTACTCCTTGTCATACACTCCCTGATAGAGTCCCTCTGGAGAGGGCCCCCAATTTCCACAGTCTTCCTCCTATCACCAATGTACCTATAGAACCCTTTCTTATTGCCCGTGATGGCAAATTTAATTCCAAAAGGGCTTTGGCTTTCCTAGCCTGATCCCTGGCTGCTCAGACAGTGTCACTGTATCCATCCCAGGCTCTCTGTTCCTGCTTCCACTTCTTTTTCTGGTTGAGTTTGGCCCTTGTTCATCCATGCAGGCCTCCTGGCGTTTTTGCCCAATTTCCTCATTGAAAAGTTATTAAGTGTCTCTGTAGGGACTGATACCAGATCAGACAGTGTTCAGTGTTTTCATCAGTGATCTAGAAAGAAATCGGGAATTGTTGCTGATCTGTTCAGACAGTTACCATAAAGCTTAGTGCAGGGCCAATCCTGTAGGAGCAGAGAATGCAGTTACATCTACAGAATAAGGATCTAAACCCACAGGTGATCTAGTTCCAAGGGAAGGATGTGGAGAATGTAAGCTTTCAGGTAGAGGTTAAAATGGAGCATGGTGATAATAATCACTGTTCACAAAGTGGGAGCTGTTCCTGATGTTGTTTGGGTATATCGGCTTGCTGGATGGTGCGTGCTTACAGTCATATCCTCCTGCAAGACCAGAAGTTAGGAAGAATTCAGCAGCTGTGATGGAGAACCAAGAGAACAGAATGTGCTGCTGTTGGTGGTTTGCTCAAAGGAGTTCTGCTGATGGTGATTTTTCTCTGTCTGCAGCCCTGTGCACAAGTCTTTCTTTTTGTGCTCAAATCATTAAAAAATTGGAGTGGGTGCAGGAGAGCTCCAGAAACATCTGAGGAGATGCCCTACAGCAAAAGATTTAAAGAGTTTGTCATGTGTAGCCCTACAAAAGAGCAGTGGGAGCCGACCTGATTAATGGCTGTTCCCTCTTCACAGGGAACAAGAAAATCATCTACCTGTTAATAGACAAGGCACCTCCTAACACAGAAAGTTAATGCTTGGTCGTCTTCCTCAGACCATTTTCCATTGCTGCCTGATAGGCTTCTAATTTTCTCATCCATCTAGGGGCAGAGGAAGTCATTCCTACCAGTTTGATAAATTAGGTATTAACTGCAAGCACGTGCCGAATGAGCAGGAAAATTTCTGTAGCATCTGCAATTTGCCTGGATATCTTGAGCAATAAACAGCATGTTTTAACAAAATTAAAGCTGTGGAAGTAATAAACATGCCTGCTTTTTTTGTAAGCCTCTTAGTTAAATCTAATGTTTTTCTGTATTGTTAGTGTCTGGGAAACCTGATTTCATTTTATGCTGAATAACCTTTTTCCTCTGTAGGTGCTAATTAGAGCTGTGCACTGATTCTGAGTAGTGTCTGCAAAGACATTTTGTTGTTAGCTTGTTTTAGAGGTCTATTTTCACATAACGTTTCTCAAGAAAATTACATCACCTTAGCTGGAAAATGATTGATGTGGAAAAGAATGAGCACAGTTCCCATTATACTGTGTTGCAAGAAAGGAGCATAAAAGGATGCTGTATATTTAAATTTTGAAATGCATTTCCCTAGATAAGATTTATAGGAGTATGTTGAGTGATATCATTCACAAAAACTGTTCCCTGAATTTGAGAAAGAATGTTTAGATTTAAGGGAGTTCACATGCTACAAAGTTTGCAGCATTGAAATTAAAATCAAGTCTTAAAACATCAGCATAAGAACTCACGTTCCAGGTACCTGCTTAAGCACTCTAATTTCCTCCTTCATTAGATAGCTGCTTCCTTTAAGTTAAATGAAATTTTGTGCCTCTGATATTTGTTAGGACTGTTTTTTAAGCTGCTTAAATGTAATTTAAGTATGTGACTTGTGAAATAGGCTTTCGGAACTTGATGGGGGTGGGGAGTGATACGTATACTGTCTTGAATATAAGTATTTTTTTTTCATCTGGAAGTCTTGGTACCTGTAAAGGATACACCCTAATCAGCGATGTGGTCCCTCTCCTCCTTGAAACATGCATGGAAATGCGTGTTGTCAGAAATTGTCAGTACTGGATGGTGTCATATAAAACAGTTGTCACAGAAATGGGTCCGATAAAGGGCTGTGAGATCTGGTTTTAGCTACAGGGCATTATGCATTGCTGGATGACCGGGCGCATTCCAAAAATGCAGCCTTGGCTGGAACGGCGTGAGTTACTGCAGGGCTAGAGAACTGATTCCCTCTGGATAAGCAAGGGAGCATTGCAGAATTGCTGAGTTTTCCTCAGGGGAGAATAAAATGCATAAATGCATATCCATTCCATTCCTGGTTCTCTTGTCCGGTTGAAAATAGCAGGGGGGAGGAGTTCTGACCTCCTGCAGGAATAATGCAGTCGATGTTCTGAGTAGGATATTGGACTACAATGAATAGCTTACCCTGTTTTAGCTGGAGAAGCAGGTATTGATGTCCAGCTTTTTGATTTAAAGCATCAACGTGCAGGTATAAAATGCAGTGCACATCTTTGTAAATTGTAGCATGTTCTTGTAACTGTCTCTTGTGATGCATTATTTACCTTGTGATAAAATGCCATGACTTTTTTTGAAGAGTATACAGAAGAATATAATCCTACTACCTAAAGTTTGCTAGTTAAATTTTTAAATCTAGTTCAATACTACTTCGTGTTAAAGATCCATTTACAAGCATTTTCCTTGGAAAATGTAGCTTTCTGCTTTTGTTTTTTAAGAGCAGGGTTTCTTTTATTATTACTTTCTAATTTGGAAAAGATGAAACAGAGCCTGCTCATCTTTTCCAGACTTCCAGATTTGGAAATACGGTGAAAACTTTCAGAACAATTCTGGGAAATCTTTTAAGTATAGAATAGAATAATTCAGTTGGAAGGGACCTTCAGAGATGAAGTCCAACTGCCTGACTATTTCAGAGCTTAAAACAAAACAAAACAAAAACCTAACACACATTACTGAGAGCATTATCCAAATGCCTCTTCAACAGGCATGGGGCATGAATTGCCTCTCTGGGAAGTCTGTCCCATTGTTTGACCACCCTTATGGTGAAGGAATTTTTCCTAATGCCTATCCTGAACCTCCTCTGGCACAGCTTTGTGCTGTTCTCTCGCATTCTGTCATTGGTCACCAGAGAGAAGAGACTATTGGTGAAGAAGGAAAAATTTTGGGAAAATGTTTTGTGATAAGGCATGTAGCATTTGTGTGAACAGAGCAAGTATAACTGGGTGAAAATAACTCCATTCAGTGCTTGAAGGAGATGGGATTGTTAGCTGTGTCAAGCCACAGTAGTTGTGTTAAACACTTGTTGCTTTTACATTAATCTGCAGAAATGTCTGTTTTCTAATAGTTTTTTTTTTATTATATTATTTTTTTTTTATTGCAGCTGGCTATGGGGAAAATGATGGAGCAGGGACCAGTATTAATCATCACTTTTCAAGCTCAGATTGTGATGGTAATAAAGAATCAGAAAGGGGAAGTGGTAGAAGGCGATCCGGTAAGTGGTGTTCACCGGCTGCACATGGTTTCCCTAGGTCCCCTGCCAGCCGTGTCAGTTATATGTTCTCTGTTCCCTACAGCAGTGTGTGGTGTATTTGCATTTCACTTATCCACACACCTTATAACTCACAAAAAAGTGCTGTCTTGCTCTAATGGCATTGCTGAGAATATCAGGGAATGCCCCCCTTCGAGGGGAAGACGTGTGAGGGGCTGGAGCACCTTTCCTGTGAGGACGGGCTGAGAGAGTTGGGGTTATTCAGCCTGCAGTGTCCTGCCGTGTTTCGAAATCCAGTTGCATGCTTCCAAAACAGTAACAGAGTGAATTACTCACCCTACTCCCTGGCTAGGGTTTGTGTTGAGCTTGTTCCTTGAAGGTTGAACCCTGAGAGGCGTCTGAGCTCAGTGGGAGATTGTGGGTGCAGCCTGCTGCAGGCCTTGGAGCTCTCCAGGAATTCTTGCTTGGGACTGCTACTTATAGGATCACAGGGCCGTTGTCTTTTGGTCATTAACTTTCCAGAAATCAGGCCTTTGCCAGTTTGTTTAGGAGTCACCTTGCACAGTAACCCCTCCCCTTAGCACTTAATTACATCCTTGTTAATCAGTCACGCCACAGGACCCAATGTGATTAGAGGGGAGGCCTGATCATCTGAGGCCTGTGTCATTGCAGTGTGGTTGACCCTTTTGTCACTATAGCTAACTTTGTGGCTGGATTCTGGCTGCCCACAGATAGGGACCTGGCTTCTCTCTGATTAGGAGCGTGATGAGATCTTTTTTATTCTCTTCAGTCATTTCACAAGCGTAGCGATTTATTTCTGGAGTCATAGATTTTCCCGTTTCCATCAGTTTTATTTTCACGTTTTCTTTGTTGTGGTTATTTTGGGACTTGTATAAAACAGTATTAGATGTTTCTTCACAGCATCTGAAGTTCGGGAATGTTCTGTGGCTTAGGGGGGCTGGTTTTGGCCCTTATAAAGGAGATGCCTCCTGGTCAGATACTCAGAGCTTCTGGCAACAGGCTGAGCTTCAGTGCTGCCTTCCAGCCCTGGCAGTCCCTCATGGTGTCATGGCCTCTTTATCTAATTTTCTTCCAGTTGAGATTTTAAGTGCATTTGTGAATTTTCATCTGATGCTGCCTCTAAAACATGGTGTGGCCTTCCATTTCATTATTTTTAGCATGGAGAGCCTTCTTTTGTTTGAAATGTGTCTGTGAGGGAGAAAGATCCTGCTGCGCCCTGTCCGTTACAGAATCACAAAATGGTTGATGTTGGAAGGAGTCTCTGGAGCTTATTTGGTGTGACCCCCCAGCTGAAGCTCAGGACCATGTCCAGGCATCTTTTGAATATTTCCAAGGTTGGAGACTCCACAACCTCCATGGGCAACCTGATCCAGGGCTCAGTCACGTTACATGGCTATGCTAATAGTCATCATGTACTTGTTTCAGATGGCAGTGATGAATTTACACAGAAAGCTTGAGTAAACTTTCAGTTCCATTCTGGGCAGCTTTGGCAACTCAGAAATGGTAAAATCAAAATAAACTTTGATTTGTGGAAGGAACAGTCATGGAAAAAGGGGAGCAGTTAAACCGATCATAGCAGCTGTGATATTGTGTCAGATTTGGGTTCCTAGGAGCACGTTTTCTGTCTGTTAGGCAGTGTCACCTCTCTCCTGAGAGACGCAGAGATTTTGTCGTGTCTAGCTGCAGTGACTAGTCAGGGAGTTATTTTCATAAGACCATGTGCCGTGGTTTTACTCACCGGGAAAGGAGGAGAAAATCTGATAGAGAGGGCTCAGGGATTGAGATAAGGACGGGGAGATCGTGCAACAATTTCTGTCCTGGGCAAAACAGACTCAGCACCAGGGAGATTAATATAATTTATTACCTATTACTAACAAGGTAGAGCAGAGAGAAACAAAACAAAAAGTGAAAACACTTTTAGTGGTGGGTCCCTTTGGAGCCTGCTGAGCCCTTGTCTAACACGGGGCAGCTTCTGGAGGCCACCCCTGCAGCCCCCTGCTACCAAAACCTTGCCACATAAACCCACTACACCATAATTAAGGGATTCATTTCATGGTATTCAACGGATTCAATTCATGGTGTGATCTAATCTATGTAGATAAGTTATTATTTTTACTTTCTGTCCCTCCTCAGATCCAGTTGTGATAATTTCTGGTTAATTCGAGCTGCTCAAATGGAAATGTGGGTGCTGGTGATGTAGCTGTGGGGAGAGGATGCAGTGCTCAGACTGGTTTGGGAATGGCATAGCTGTAGCTGGAGGGAAGAGCCTTAAACTTGATTGAAGGTTACAGGCAGCAGTACAGCCTGACAGCCAAACCAGTTTGAAACCAGAAACGTAATAACAGTTGATGTATTGTTAATAGAAAGTTGGCTGTGGTGTCAGTTGATGTTTGTCAGGCAGAGATATTTGGGAATTCTAATGCTGTTTTCAGATATCGAAAGTTTATCTGTTCCTAACTGGGATAAATTTCTAACCACAATTTAGTAAATGTTGAACCTAGAAAGAAAAATGACAAGTCTCTGGAGCAAATGTTACACATTTCCCCAGTCAGTACTGAGCTGGGAGGTCTGTGACCATAACGCGAGCTCTAACAAGGATTTTTCTTCCAGGACAAGGTTCTGCGGATGCTGTACGTATGGGCACTGTGCAGAGACCAGGACGAGCTCAACCCCTATGCTGCCTGGAGGTTATTGGACATTTCCTCATCAAGCACTGAGCAAGTTCTCTGAGAAGAATCACATCTGAGAGCTTCCTGTCCCTCTCTTCGAGCAATGCCGGTTCTGAATTTGCACCAGTCTACTGCATGATGATCTGCGGGGGAAAGAGGCTAGATTGGTTCCTTTTCAGAAGAACAGGCTGTGAGGTGTGCCATTGTTACGCCAAATCCCATCATGAACTGGACGAGTCTGACACATCTGCCTTACACTTTGCTGTGTAGCTGTTGCACTGTAAGGATGTAGGGTAGATTGTAATGAGAGTGCTCTAAGACACTAGCAGCTGCTCTTGGCTCCTGTTTTAATCGTGGCTGAAGGAGGCTGGTTTGGGTTCTGTGTATTTCCCAGTGCTTCCAGTGATACCCACAGAGGTGGGTATTGAAGAACGGTGCAGTGAGGTGTGACAGGCCTGGTTGCAATCTGCTGTCATCCTCTGATGGCCTTACATCAACCCCGAAAAGAACTCAGAGGTGCTTTTAAGGCACCCTTGGTCTCAGCTAATCCACATCTCATACCGAGTTGCACCAATACCAGTAAGCCTTCTATTGCTGTAGTGTCTTGTACCTCACCAAACCAAATGCAATCGGGTATTTGCACATGACTTGGAGTAGAACAGAGTCAGGATGGAGCTGTTTGCATCATCATACATAAACGTCCACAGTTCTGCAGGGGGAATATCCTTGTTTGTGGTGTTTCTGTTCATTCTGTGAGCTGGTACCACTAAAGAGCACACACAATGCATTCCTCTGCCAGGCTGAGCTGATGGTGTGAAGGAGACAGGCTCTGAGTGGCTGCAGGGAAGCAGGCAGAGTGCTAGAACACTGATCTGGAATAAGGATGGACAGGGTAACAACAAATGAGTAAATAAAATGCAATAACAAGTAGAACATCACCTCTTGTAGCTCAGGCAGTGATTAAGTGAGATGAGAAAAGAGGACGTGGTTCCCTTACTGCATAAAGTTCTTCCCAAGCATGGCTTTGTTCACCGGATGGATTTCTGCTTTGGGGGATCACACACCTGTCCTGGAAGTCCCAGGTAGCAACTGGAAGGCATCGGGGGCAAGCTGGAGACACGTTTACAGACTCTTGGTTCTGAGCTTCTGCTGAAGGCTCAGTGTGGGGGTTGTGGTGGGGTTCAGTTCCTCAGCTGCGTCCTCTCAATGGAAAGTGAGGGTGGGGGGAAGGAAAATAGTCATGGAATAGGATATCAGAGGACTGATGTGCTGCTGCGTTCTGCCTGTACACAGAACAGGGTGATGCTGGATAGCACTTCTTGTCGTGGGGATGGAAGAGTGTCCAGATCAGTTCCTTTGAGTGTAACTGGGATTCTCTCATAGCCCTTGGGTGAAACGTTTCAATCTCACAGCCCTTGGGTGAGATGTTTCAATCTCACAGCCCTTGGCTGATGTGTGCAGCAAATTCAATAGCAGCCTGCCCTGCCCCACAGAAGCTGCCCAAACTTGCTGCCTGGCTACCAGGGTAGGTCCTTCTGCTCCAGGGCAGGCTGGGGATGGGTGGGATGTAGTCCCTGCTGCCTCCCTCATCACACAGTTTTCTCCCTGGTGCTTTTGCCATTGAAATAATTTCAGATTTTTACTCAGATGTTTTAAGCACCAGTACACAAACTGCAGATCTGAGCAGAGTTAATTCTACAGTGCAGAAACCAGCCATGAGATAGGGAATCCCTGCACCTGCCTGCCTTCAGAAATGGAGGGTGATGCGGACCTCACTCGGTGAGGCTTTTTCTGGGATGGATCTCATCTAACATCTCTGCACACTGCCTGTACGGTGCGTGGAGAGACTAATTCTTTATTTGAGTGCCTGGACTGCTGGGTGGAAATGCGGTGTCTTTGAGATACTTCCTGAACTTCATCAGAGATGGGGAAAGTCTCATCACCGACACGATACAGGAATGGAGTCAGCAGCCTCGGAACATGGAGACTGCTCCTCCTGCCCTGCTTCCTCCGTAGCTGAACGGAGGCTGTCACTGATAAACACGAGTCTGCAACAGCCTAGGTATGTGTGCAATCTACAGCCTATTGCCCAAAACTTTTGGGATACCTCTATGAAACGTGTGCAAAACTTCTTTTATTTGGTATGCTTCAAGTTATTTTTTAAACTGGTGTTGGGAAAAAAAATCTGGGTTAAGGTGTGGTGGTTTTACCCAGCTGGGCAGCTGAGCTCCACCACAGCCACGCTCTCACTCCCCCTCCTCAAAGGGAAAGGAGGAGAAAATCTGACGGAGAGGGCTCAGGGATTGAGATAAGGACGGGGAGATTGCTCAACAGTTTCTCTCCTGGGCAAAACAGACTCAGCGTAGGGAGATTCATGTAATTTATTACCTGTTACTAACAAGCTAGAGCAGAGAGAAACAAAACAAAAAAGCTCAAAACACCTTCCCTGCATCCACCCTCTTCTATGTTCTTCCCCTGAGCAGGGCAGGGGAACTGAATGGGGGCTGCAGTGGGTCCCTTTGGGGCCGTCTGAAACTGGCTGTCCTCCGAACGAGCTCCTGGGCTCTTCTCACAGAGGCCACCCCTGCAGCCCCCAGCTACCAAAACCTTGCTGTCTAAACCCAAAACAGGCTCAGCAGCAGCTTCAGCGCTTCCTGGTCATGGCACTGAGCCTGCCAGAGTTCAAGAAGGGTTTGGACACTCTCAGACACATGATCCGACTTTTTATTTTATTTTTTATGGGTGGTCCTTTGGGCACTGAGGAGCTGGACTCGATCCTTGTGGGTCATTTGGAGTGGGCTCGGGCCTCCTTGTGTTCCCCCAACCCCATTTCATTCGCAGTGGCCCGTGGGCTGCTTCCTTCTAGATTTAAGTTAAGTCTTCCTTCTAGTTTTAAGTTAAGTCTTCAGCTGCATCATTCATGTCGGCAAGACCTGCCTTTACTGCATGTCGTCAGGTGGGAAATGGGTGATTTAAAAGTTATTCCAGGGACACAAACCCCAGCTGCCACCGATGTGCAATGGCACATCTTGCCGTGGCAGCCCAGGAGCAGAGAGCACAGGGTGCAGCTGCGCGGAGCCAGGGAGTGTAATGAACTCTGCACAGCTCAGGATTCAGCACAGACGATGACACTTAGCTTATTGATTTCTTCTTAGGAGAAATCTGGTTATGTTTCATGAGATCAAGCAGGCACCAAGCCTGGGAGAGCGTAATTTGATTGAGCTGAGACTTTTCAAGCCTGCTGTGTCTCGAGCTCTGTCCGTGCAAAATGCAGCTGGTGTTCTGCCTGGGGGGAGAGGAGAGGGTTTGGGGCAGAAACAGCTTTTGGGGAGGAAGCTTGGGGACATCGTTCCTCATTAGGGTTTAAAATGTTTTAAACTATTTAAGTCCTACATCCTTCAAACCGGTGAAAGAGAAGCCCTTTCATCTTTCATGGGACTAGAGAAGAGAAGAGAAGAGAAGAGAAGAGAAGAGAAGAGAAGAGAAGAGAAGAGAAGAGAAGAGAAGAGAAGAGAAGAGAAGAGAAGAGAAGAGAAGAGAAGAGAAGAGAAGAGAAGAGAAGAGAAGAGAAGGCTCCTCCTTTTTGCCACCCTTGGTCAAAGCACCAAAGCCATAGAGGTTCTGCTTTTCTGGCCCTTACCTTCTGTATGCTGGACTTCCCTGTACAGTTCACCAGCCTCCAATGTTCTGCAGCAAAGCTACTCTTGAGGTGTTTGAAGGGCTGGTACTGTGACAGGCCTGCAGAGGGGACAGCAGATCCTGTTCCTCACATGGATCCAGTATCCCTAGAACAACACCAGAGCTGGGGAAGCCCCTGGAGGAAGCCCCAGAAGAATAAATACTTTCTCACAGAGCCTGGAACAGGTGAGAGGGACGTGACCCTGGGCTGCTGAGCTCAGAGAAGGTGGCACAACGCTGCCCAGTGCCTCCCAGTGCCTCCTTCCAGTGCTCTACCGTGTTTGGTGTCATCTCTGCTACAGAAGGGCTCTGGCAGGCCTGTTTGCCCCCCTGATGGGAGGCAGAGATAAGTAGATGTGCTTATCAGCCCTGCAGGGCAAGAGCTGGACACCAAGCACGAGAGAAGAGAAACCTCCAGAGCAGCAGTGTTCCTCTAGCTGTCAGTGACAGCTCTCTGAGATATATCTCAGGCACAGGAGCCAAAGAAATGACTCAGGAGCGTTTTGTTTTGTTTTGTTTTTTTTTTTTTTTCTCCTTCGTTCTGCTTATCAGAGCCGTGCTGGGCTTGAAGGGGTGGCTGGGGAATAAATCCTCGTGTCCTGAGTGCCAGTCTGGGCGCCAGCCCTGGCACTGCCTCCCTCCCCTTAGCCCAGCATCACCTCCCTCACTCTTCACTCTCTTTCCCTTGTCTTTACTCCAGTCCTGATGTTGGGGCCAGAATGGGGCTGATCGGTGAAAGATCAGCTCTGTTGTCGCTGAGGGGGAAGGACCGGCTCGAGCACAACTTTTCCTTGCAAGAATCTGTAGTTAAAGGAGCACCAATTAGCAGAGCCCCTCATTATCATGCCAGCCTCCCAGCGCTGAAAGCAGGAATCACGCAGTCACCGTGATTATAGACACAGCCGACTGCAAATTGCAAACAATTTGCAGCAGGGAACTCGCCTGGCTCGGTAAGGCCGTGTGTGTGTTTATGCTGCCGTGTACAGCAACACGCTCATTACGGGTTATTAATAACACGGCCCACTTTCCTAAAGAAACGTGAATCTCCCTTTCTGGCTTTTCTGCCCTGCAGTACACAAGGCTCAAGGCTCGGCCTCCCTCCAGCCCTCCCAGAGGCCTTTCTTTTCTTTCTTTTCTTTCTTTTCTTTCTTTTCTGATCTACAGAGCCCCTTCCTGTTACTCTTTGCATCCCTCACCAAGCTGGGTCCTGTCAGTGCCTTGCCTTTCCTGATCCCGTCCCTACACACCCAGAGCACATCCCTCTGCTCTTCCCAGGCCCTGTGTCCCTGCTTTCACCGCGGGTGCATTCCCTTCTTGCTCCTCAGGCTGCCCAGCAGGTCCTTGTTCAACCCTGCTGGTTTCCTACCTTCCCTGCTTGATTGATTTCCTAGAATAGAGCTCTTGTGCTCCACGGAAAATATCCTTAAAGAGTCTCCAGCTCTGATCAGAGGGACAGCGTCCCACGGGATCTCATCCACTAATTCTCTGAGGAACTGGGAGCTGGATCTTCTGAAGTCCAGGGTCCTGACTGCTCTTAGCCAGGCCCATATCCCTCAAGATCACAAACTCCCCCAGGGCATGGCCACTGCAGCCCAGGCATCCTCCAGTCTTGACCTCTTTAATGAGCTCTTCTGCACTGGTGAGCACCAGGTCCAGTGAGGCTTCTCCTCCGCTTGGTTTGATACCTGGGCGAGGAATTTGTCCTCGATGGACTCCAGGAGTTTTCTGAAGTGTTTGCTGCCTGCCCCGTGGCTTTCCAAGCCAATGTCTGGGTGGTTGAAACCCCCCAGGAGGATGGGAGCCTGTGAGCACGATGCTTCTGGTGGATGGAGCCAGAAGGCCTCATCAGCAGGTTCCCTTGATCGGGCACCTATCACAGACCCCATCCACAAGGTGTCCTTTATTGAGGTGGCCTCAAACTCTCACCCACGAGCTCTCAACCTGTCCGTGGCTCTTCCTCAGAGGCAACTCTTCGCAATCAATCCCTCCCCTAATGCAGAGGGCAACACCCCCTCCTTGGGATCCTTTCAGGAGCAGGCTGTACGTG